TAGTAGAAAATTGAAATTTTGTATAAAAAGAAACACACCCAATGTTTAGGGTTTAGGACAATTCAAATAATAAAATAAAATTAGAAATAAATGTCACAATGAAATGTCCTTAGGCCATTTCCAATACAGCGGCGCTGGGTTGGCATATTTGGTGCCGGTTGTCTCTGATCCACGCCAAATTCAATGTCAAAAATTGGCGTTGTTACAGTGCAACGCTAATTTTAGTGTTGCACTGCAGCAACGCCATTTTTTGGCGTTGTGTTATTTTTACTTTTTTTAAATTTTTAAAATTATAAATTTGGTTTTTAAATTTAATTTTTAAATTTTTTAAAATTTTATCTTAAATTATAAAAATAAAAAATTGTTTAAAATAATAAGAAAAATTGAATATTTAAAGAATAATAGTGAAAAATGGAGTTATGATTGGAGTAAAATTACTTTAGCAATTGCATGTTTGAAGTTAAAATTAAATAAATAAAATTGATGGGTTGGGGATTACCTTACTATTTTTTCTTTATTTTCCACCTTTTTTTATTTTTACTGCAAGTAAAAAAAAAAAAAAAAAAGCCTTAATTTAACTTTATATTGTTTAATAATGTGTTTATTGTGTTGCTTTTTATTGGCAATAATTTGTTTCCCGCACTATTAATTGGCAACAAGTGTCTTTATTTATGAAATTATGTCGCTAATCTAAAAAATAATATTTTGTATTATCTTTGTCTGTGTAGTTCTAAGGTTATTCTAATCTATTTTTTGTGTATTGATTTTTTAATATTAATTATTATATCAAAATATAGTACAATTTTAAAAAAGTTGCAGAAATACTTCAGTTAGTATTTTATAATACTAACAGAATGACATTTGTACCAAAATTTATACAAATATAAAATTTTTGTAATATTAAATATAATGACGCAAAAGGTAAATGTGACATTTAGAGGCGGACAAAAAGAATATTAAAATTATTGACTTTTTATAAATAGATCAAATCTATATAATATATTGTGTTAATGTATATATATTATATATATATATTTATAATATTTATAAAGAATCCTATCATATAAAAAAAATAAACAAAAAAAACAAGGTGAATGAGTATAAAATAAAGTGTAAAATACAAGTTTACAGTTACCATATGGAGATTGAAAAGAAGATTGCAGTAGTATTTGTGTAAATATAGTTTTATTATAGAGTGAAAATCACAATAATTATTTAAAAAAAAAAAAGACTATAGTTTTAAAACATACAAAAATGATGAAACAGACATATAGTATTAAGACAGATAGAGAATTATTTTTAATTTTCGTACCCAGCCAAAATAATATAAAAATTTGAAAAAAAAAATACGTAGTAGTAAAACTTATATGATAAAATAGAATATATAGTATATTTCTGTAGAAAATCATATTGATTGTATCATAATTTTATTTTTTTTAAGAAAAATATTGGAGAATATATAAATATATTAATTGTTGTGGAATAAACAAAAATAGATAATATGTCAATTGGTATGAGACGGAAGAAGTACATATATTTTTTAAAATTTTGGTATTAATATTTATTTTAATTCCTAAACTATTTTATCAAACATTTATTACTATCCTCGACATTTTCTAAAATTTCAAACCTTTAAAAACTTGTCTAAATAGAGTTATTGTTCTTTTATACCGTTTTATACCGTTTAATAATTACGATAGATAAATTTCTACACATAACTCAAAATCCGTTAAGATTAAGAGAGCGGAGGGGCAATCATGTCTAATATTTTATTCGTTCCACGCAATTTGTCTAATTTTTTTTTGCTCGTTCAACATATTTTGTTATTTTCTTTTTTTTTTTGAAAAAAAATAATATATTTTTACTAATATATTTTTAAATTATATTATTTATTAATTATATTACTCCTTAAAATCTCGTATCTACGGTATATCGAATTAATTATATGGGATGACGGAGTATATATAATTCTGACCTTTTTTATTATAAGGTTTATCATTAATACACAAACTAATGTCCTATTTTCCTATTTGGAATGTCCAACAATTATTGCCCTCTTTTTATTTTTATACACAAAATTTACTTTTTTACCCTTATTTTATTTACTCTTTTATTTTCTATACATAAGATTAAGGGTAAATTTGTCATTTTATAACAAAAGCTCTAATCGCCTAAAAATACGTATAAATATCAAATAAGACATTAGAAAATGGGTCAACCAAGTTTAAATGATTTGTTTTTGTCATTTTGTTTCGTTCAAAATCATTATTTCTTCAAGTAATTGTACTTTTCATATATATATATATATATATATATTTAAATCTTTATAACTTAAAGTATTACAAAAATATCAAATTAAATTGTCTTTGTTAGGGTTTTATTGAGCATTTAATTTACAACTTAGAAAGTTGTCTTTGTTTTTGGTTGAATTTGAATAGTAAAATATTAAATTAAAATAATTATTTGATATTATATTTTGAATGTAAAATTAATTTTAATATAATATTAAACGATATATATTTGGGTTGATTTTCTTTTTTTAGATTTTTTTTTAATGAATAATAAAAATTCATCAAAATTTTTGAAATAAAAATGTTTTAATTGAGTTAATTTGCAAAATATTTGGATATGTTTAGTTGTAATTTCAAATTAAAATTAATATTATTTACTATGTACGATTTTCAATAAAAAAAAAAGTTATTTTTTCTATAAAATTATTACATTAAAATAATATTTAAATAGATCATTTGGGTTTTGGTAGTTTTGCACAAACAAATGATGATGTGTTGAGATTTATTTTGAAAGTATTTTAAAATTTTGAAATGTTTGGAAGTAATAAAATTATAATAAAAATTAAAAAAATTTATTCGATTTAAATATTTATTGAATGTTCTGCTTGAAATAAAAAAATATGCATGTATACATAATATTTTAAATAAAAATAGTTTTATGAATATGGTATTTTATAAAATGATGGAAATTTGATAAATATTATAAAAACAGAGTAATATATATATATATATATATATTTCTTCACAACATATATATATATAAAAAAAAAACTTAAAACATATATTTTAATGATTCCTAATAATTAATTAACAATAAAAATTTAAAAAATTTCTTGATATTAAAGAACTCAACTATGGCATCTTTGGAAAAAGTTGACTCACAATCATTGTGTTGGAATTTGGTGTGTTCCCTTTCGACTAATATTATTCTCAATAACTGTAATTTTTTAATAAAAGTATATTATTTTTTATAAAATATGAAATAAATAAAAAAAAAAAACCCTAACTTGTATATTCTAATAAATTTTTTATAATTAATAACAAAATTATCAAAAATATGTATACATATTAAAAGAATACAACCATGGTATCAATGTAAAAATAATTTTGAAACACACATTTCTTTAATTTTCTTGTGTAAATTGAAAATTGTTTTTGTACTTTAAGCCTTCAAGATAAGTTGGCTGAGTACATGGAGACATTTGATACCATGTTAAATAATCATTTTACTTAAAAAAATAATAATCTAGTAAATAAATATATTATTAATTACGTGTTATATAGTATTCAAATATTATTAAATTTCTCCGTCTCAATTCAAATGGACTTTTTGGAATTTTGTAAAAAATTTAAAAATAATACTAATATTTTACTTCCTTCGTTCCGTAACAATCTATCAATTTTTTTTATTTTGGTTCGTTCTATAACAAATTATTCATTTTTTTAGTAATTGTACTATCTACCTAACATTACAAATACCCTTCCAATTTGCAATATATTACACAAATGTCGTTACATTTATATCATACAATACTAATAGGGTTAATTTAGTACTTTTACTTTAATTTATACTTTATTCAAATATAATACTAATATTTCTAAAACTCTGTGCAAAAAGTAAATGAATATATAAATATAGGACGGAGGGAGTATTAGTTATTAGAAGTGTGTAAGATGGTTTTTGATACTTTTTTTTCACCATTGTAATTTACGTAAAAATTAAAAAATATGTTGGTATTAATGTTCGATTACTTTTACTATAATAAAAAAAATAATACTTTTAAGTTAGATGTGCGAAAATGGTAAAAAAAAAAAATACTTTTATTTTGGCCGAAAGAAAATAATATGTACAATTATCTCGAATGTATTTGGTTGGTGATTTTTTGTTTTAAATTTAATTTTAGTTTTTTATTCGACTAATGACTTAAATGCAATGTTATGTGAGAGTGAATATTTTATTTTATTTTAAATAATAATAATAATAAATCAAAAATTGAATTGAAAATAAATCACTATATATGTCAAAAAACATACCCCTTCTAACTTTGTAAAGGACATGTAGAGAGGTTCATAGACTATTGCTAGTTATGAGCGAATCTACAAAAACATAAACATAATAAAATGTCGAAAATGTATCAAAATAATATTAATGAACTTAAAATTTTAAAAAATAAAATAAAAATGCGTGCTTTAAATGTAAATATAATAAAACATTACACATTTCGACTACATTTATATGTGTCGTCGCTAGAAGTGAGATCGGATCGAATTTAGGTTTCGAATAATTTATTGTCGAGAATGGATTGAAGTTTAAACTACATAAATGGTAAATATCATTGTTAAATAATTTATATTATCGTTTAAAAAAAATAAAAACAATAGTATATTTGTAACGGAATTTCGTTCCTAAAGTTCACATAGCTAACGTAATTTTATCCTAAATTCTATCTCTAATAGCATTAGTAACGAAAAAATTGGATTTAAGAACGAAAAGACGTTGTTATAGAATTGATATTTTCGTATAGTATACATGTAAACTACATTCATAATATAAGATGATTATTGAATAAAAAATAAAATGAAGAATTGAAATAATAAAAAAGGTGTCACTATTTTTAAATTTTGTTAAATTTGGAAAACAAGACATTAAATTATGGGCCTACTTTTTCCATATAAAAAATATAAATATAAATAAATATATATATTTTCCCATAATGAATGGAATGGAAAGCTAGCTAGTAGGTACCTATGCTAACCTAAGCTAGGTTTTCAACAAAGTGGGGTTTTCTTATTATTTCCAATTTCTCTCTCTATACACATTTTTCATATATCATTACCTTATGCTTATCATGGACGGCGGCGACGACGATCAGCTCCGCCTCCACCGCCACCACCACCACCACCACCACCACCACCATAGCCGTAGCTTCCCCTTCCAGCTCCTCGAGAAGAAAGACGACGAATCCACCAGCTCCGCCGCCTACCCTACCCTCGCCATATCCACCGACGCAATCGGTGGTTCATCAAACCCTACGCCGGCAGCCACCGCCGCCGCATCAACGGCTTCCTCCGGCGGCCTGCAAATCGCCGCCTCCGCCGACACCTCCAAAAAGCCGCCGCCGAAACGAACGTCGACGAAAGACCGCCACACCAAAGTCGACGGCCGCGGGCGGCGCATCCGCATGCCGGCTCTCTGCGCCGCCAGGGTTTTTCAGCTCACCCGCGAGCTCGGCCATAAGTCCGACGGCGAGACGATCGAGTGGCTCCTGCAGCAGGCGGAGCCGGCGGTTATCGCCGCCACCGGCACCGGCACGATCCCCGCGAACTTCACGTCGCTAAATATCTCCCTCCGGAGCTCCGGCTCGAGCATGTCGGTGCCGTCGCAGCTGAGATCTGCTTACTTAAATCCCAACTACGCCATGCCGCCGCAGCACCGCCGCGGCATTTTTTCCGGCCTCGGATTGTCGTCGGAAAGTCCCTCCGGCACCCTGCTCAATTTCCAATCGGCGAATTTAAACCCTAATTTGATCCAATCGAAGCAGGAAATTAGGGAAAATTCCCTAAATTTAACTCAGGATTCCGGCGCCGGCGCCGACGACGACAGCTTAGGCCGGAAGCGCCGCGCCGAGCAAGAACTGCCGCCGCAGCACCACCAAATCGGAAGCTACCTTCTACAATCGACGGCCGGAGCTCTCCAATCAAGCCACGCTTCGATTCCGGCGAATTTCTGGATGGTTTCAAATTCAGGCAACGCTCAATCCGCCATTACCGGCGATCCGATTTGGACATTCCCGTCCGTTAATCTGAACAACACCACAGGCGCCGCCGCCGCCGCCGCCGCTCTGTACAGAGGAACCATGTCCAGTGGGCTCCATTTCATGAATTTTCCGGCGCCGATCGCGATGCTTCCTAACAACCAGCAGCATCAATTAGGTAATAACGGGATCGGAGAAGGTCAATTAGGTATGCTCGCCGCCGGATTGAACCCGTACCGATCCCGAGGCGGCGGCGGCGCCGGCGTGTCAGATTCACAGGCCAGCGGCTCCCACGGCGGCGCCGACGACCGGCACGACTCCACCAGCCACCATTCCTGAATGATGACGAAGCTTTTGGTACCATTTCAGTAGTTAATTTTATGTGCGAAGCTAAGCACACACGTGAGTTCTGAGGTTTGATTAATTACCCCAAATTTGGGTTTCTTTTTATTTTTTGTCCTAATTTTATTTTTTTGTGTGATAAAATATCGAGGATTTAATTAGGGTTTGGGAAAAGGGCAATCTTTTTTAACAATTGGGATTATTTTTTTGTGACAATTAGTCAAATTTAATATTTCAAATTTTCAATCCACCCCTTGTATTTCAATCACATAATTAATATATATATCAAAAATTTTCTTGATCAATAATTACATGTAATTTTATGCTTACTTATCGGAAAGCACTCCGGGATCCGAGAGCCAGTGGTGTAGAGACCAATGATGATCCGTGTTCTGGAGTCGGGGTCCCGTGACCCCGCAAGAAAACGAAAGCGAAATTCCTTTATTGTCACAATAATATTTTTGACCAAATGATGATTACATTACACGTAGTAAATTCTGTTGGTGACGTTTCATCGACTTTGGTACATTCACGTAATAATAATAAATACGTTAAAAAATTTAATGAAAATGATAAAGCAAAAAAATAAATAAAAGTGACAGTACAATAATTAAAATAGTATTATTTGTTTCCTGAGCATAGGAAACTCATTATTTGTACATGAATATATATATATATATTTAAAAAATAAAATAAATTTATTTACTGCCTCCTATATTACAGGAATGGGGCCCGCACCTTATCAGCTGCCAGGTGGTGGGATCCACGTGTCTTTTAAATTATTACCAGAAGCAGCCACAGCTGGCGGGCGCCATGAAGATCGCTGGTGGGTGTTGTTGTCGGGCCCCACATCTACACTCAATCTGGACCGTCCAATATTTCACGTGGGGCCATCATGTCCATCGGCTGGCGCGCTCCGCTCTCTCAATTATTAACCAAGCCGCTTATATATATATGTTTTTAAAAATTAGTTTTCATACATTTCAGAAATAATATACTTCCATCCGTTCTCGTAGAAAGACTGCCTTGTTTTTTTGCACGTAAATTTTTTAATATTAATATTATATTGAATTGTAATAAAAAAAACAAAAATACTGTTATTAATATGATATAATATAAATATAATGATATTTATTTAATATATTATAAATTGAAAAAGTATTTATTATGTTAAGTAGGTAATACAATTACTAAATTAGGAAATAGTAATCTTGTTTTGGAACAGATAAAAATGAAAAATAATAACCTTTCAATGGCACGGAGGAAGTATTAAAATTATAGTATTATTTTAATATCTATTTTAATTTGAAAACTTTATAAAAATCTATTTTTTATATGAATCATTGCGTCTTTATTTATTTAAATCACATAAAATACTATTTTTCCGTTTTGATAAGAAGAGTAACATAAGTTTTTTTACATATTGATCTTTAAATATTAATTATTATATTAATACATAGTTCAAATTAAAAAAAAAAATAATAAAAATATTTTTATTAGTCTCTTATAATACAAATACAATGACATTTGTAGAGTAAATTATATAAATATAATGATGTTTTCAACGTTAATACAATAATGCAAAAAAACAAATATTGTCTTTTCATGAGACGAATGTAGTATTTCAACTTTATTTACATATATATTTTTAAAAACTTTGAGAATATTCAATAGTAATAATTATTTCGAAAAAAAATCACTTTAATTAATTATTTTTTCACAAAACATGTATAAAAAATTTTAAAATTTTTTCAAAATTCCAAAACATGAATTGGTTTTGTTTGTTTGTTGTAGTGTTTTGATTCGAGATATGTTTTTTTATATGACATATAGAGAATTGTATAAGTAAGATAAAAAATAATATTATAAAATATTAATTTTTTGTGAAATGACGAAATATAATACTAATATATATATATATATATATATAACGAGAATCGTGTTGGAAAAAAATTGTTGAAAGAACAATAATCAGAATTTTTTTTTGTTATTAATTTTTTTCTTTCAAAACTTTCAAAAATACTTTTAAAATATATCTAAATAAATCTAGTGATTGTGTTTTCTAAGACTTGACTTTGAGTTTAAAGTGTGAAATAGTAAAAATTTGAATTAAAATAATATTTGATGTAATATTTTAATTAAATAATTATTTTTGTTATAATATATAAACGAGTAATAATGAGTATTTGATTCATATTTTTTTTCAAATATATAAATAATACAAAAGTTAAAACCAAATCTTAAAGAAATAAGGCCTATATTTTCATTCTTATCATTTAAATTTATGGTGTGTTCTTTCAATCCTTTTATCACGTATATTTTCATTCATTCGTTATTTTTATATTTTTAACACAATTTTTTATATTTTACATACAATTTTTTTTTTCAAATTATTTCACAAAATAAACACAACCTATACACTAAAACAAATGAAATTTCAAGTGGGGTCAAAAGCCAACTCAATTCTTTTTTTTTTTTTTTTAATAATAATAATAAAAAAAAAAAAGGTAGTTGGGGGGAATTTTTGAGGCAAGTGGGATTGAGATTTGCAACAATTTTAGCAGCAAATTTATTGTGGGCTTTAAATTGTGACAATAAAATTGATTGATATATGGAAGTTGTCATATGGTGGTACTAAAATGTCACATGGTTTTGAACCAACAATGGTAGAGTACTAATACTAATTGGTCCCCTTTTACTTTATTTTATTTTTTATTTTTTTTTTGTTTCTTGTAATAACATAAACATTACAACAAATACTAGGATCATGTTTCTTGTCTTCTCCCCTTTCACTTACTCAAACCAACACTTTCCCATTTTCTAACTCCAAACTTTTTCCTAATTTTGTCTCCCCAAATGCCCCATTTATGCATTCATGCCTATATATATATATATATATATATATTTCAAATGTTATATTCCCTCCATTTCGATTTGTTTATTTTTTCGTGTTTTGGAGTGAATCGTACGTGTGTTTTTAGAAGAACAATTTATTACGTATCGACTTTTTATTGATGGGTTTTTAATGAATGAGGGTAGAGTTGGAGAAGACGGGCTTGATATGTTTTATTTACTTGTTATGTAGTGTAATTGGTAAATTTTTTTGTTTACGATTGTTCGTGTGTAATTGTTTTGAAATTTAATTTGTTAGATGATGTTACTATATATTTTAATTGATGGGTGAATATTTATGAAATAATAAGGAGATAATTGAAATTTATGCTAAAAACATCATTGTATGAGTTTATACATTATTGCTTATGCAATGTAAATGATGCATAAAATGATAATACATTATATTGTTACAAGTCTATGACCTCAAGGTCACAAGTCCAACCCCTACACCACCAAGTCATTCCTTACGGAACGAGAATTACTAATATATTAATTTCTAGTAAAAATGTTAGAAGCTATTATAAGTCTTAAGCATGTCATGAGTTCGAAATTTGAAATAAAATATTTAGAAAAGTAAAAAAAAGAAAAATATGATAATAATCTAATTTATGGATATATTGATGCTTACTATGAAGTTGAGATGGTTAATGTAATGTCTATATCTAAAGAAAATATATAAATTACAAAATTTATACTGAATAAAGAATGAAAACATTTTTGGAGCTACCGAAAGAGTCAAACTATCGGAAATAATATATATCTATTTATTTTTTAATTTTTTTTATTTAAGATGTTGAGTAATAAATGACTTTCAAGTATAGCTTGTATGTTCATATCGAAATATCTAAATTCTTTAATATTTTATTTATTTTCGGTCCATGCACAATATAATAATATTAAGACCAAAACTACGTCAAAACTCGAGACGTTTCATGACTATTCACAACGATAGTTATAGTAGCAAATTAAGACTATGACCGGATCTCCGAATGGTCGATGTGGAATTCATATCTTAGCAATAATGAGGTGTATATATATGAAATTGAATATTTCAAAGCTACACATAACTCAAATTAAGAAGAAAATGCAATGAAATGAGAAGAAAAAAAAAATGAAAATTGAGTTTTTAAAAATATATATTATATTGACATGATTATCTTATTTTAAAAAATTATAAATTATTATAAATATATACATAAGTTTATGATTGAAATAAAAACTTTTTATTTTATATTCCAATAAATTTCAAGAAAGCCCAAGCAAATCTCAGCATTTATTTTTATTTCTTCCTTACATTTATCTTTTACACATTTACTTAACATTAAATATAAATTTTATTATATATATATATATTATAAGATACTGAAAAATATTTTATTTTATTTTATTTTTATTTTGATATAATAATTAATATTTAAAAATAAAAAAATAAATATAAATTTTCTAGATGGGATGGAGGTAGTATATATATATAATTAATGTATTTTTTAATAAAGTTAATAACATCTCCATAAAATTGATAAAAATAAAAATAAAAAATACAATAATTAAAGATACAAGTGATCCTAAGAAATTGGGTAAAGCAACAAGACGACGAAGCTTTTATTTTAATAAACAAAAAAAATTCCAATTTACTTTTGAACTTCTTGCACTCATGAAGCTTCTTCAATGTCCTTTCAGGTCGAAATTCCAAGACAATTTAGTAACCAATTTTACCAGATCCAAACTATTTAAGATCACTCACCTCTTCATTGAAGCTGGATGATCCATGGAGGATTGAGGATTCCCGAATGAAAGATTCCCTTATCCGCTTCGCAATCCGATGGCTAAATGGGTAATCAAAAAGGGGTGCTGGACGCGTTCCGCCAAGATTTATGCAATTTGGTCCGTCTGCGCCGTAATTTTCTATTGTTTCTTCCAGATAGCTCTGCGGAATTCTTCGTCTCACAAGGATAGCAGTTCTCGTGCAGATTCTGGTAATAATAAGATGTTTCTCGATTTGCGCCTTTTTCTGTTTGTTGGTAATGACGTTGGATAATTGAATTCCCTATGATGTGTTGAGAGGCTTTTGCTTTTTGAAAATTGATCGTTCATTTCGGCTTTTCCCCTCTTTTTTAGGGTTTAATTTTAGCTGTTTGTGTTGTTCTGTTTTCCATTGTTATGATCGTCTGAAATGTGCTGCTGCTGTCCAGAAAGTTATTAGGTAATTAAATGTTCTTTCTATTCTTGAAACCTTGTGATGAATTTTGTTGATTTGGCTTGATAGGATGACAAGGAGGATATAAGAACTAATACATGGCCTGTTTGTGTGGAAGGATTAGAGTTTGTGCAAGGATTAGCATAAATGGATATGAAATTTCTTTGAATTGAAATATGTTTCTGAGTATTTGTGTTATTCTTGTTATAAAAGATGAATAGATTCGATCTTTGATGTGAATTTTCATCCAATAAAGTCAATTCGATTTGTATGATTAAGAGCAAATTTAAATGAATTTCCTTTGCAGTTGTAGCTTTGGTAATCGAATTCACTAGCATTGATAATTTCCGTGTAAAGTTTATTCATTCATTACGCCGTAGTAGTGCTCGAGTTTTTATATATGGATTGTTTTGTTAGTTTGTTTATAAAAATATGCAGTTTGTGTGCTTACCAAGGCTAAAGGACATTGCCCTTTAATTTAACATTAATTCGATTATGTCGTGTAAATTCCATGCTTGGAAATGAAGCATTGAGTGAGGGTTGTCTGATAGGCTGTTAATATATAAGTCAACAATTTATGTTTAAAAATTAGTGTTACCAATCCCACAAATAATCGAGAAAGTACCAAGTAATTTAGATTTACACAAAATTTGGTCATCTTGTTTTTAAATTCCCCTCTTGCTTTCGTGTTGCAAGAATTGCTGTTTCCAATTATAAATTTGAACACTAATTCTTCACCTTGTTATGTATTTATTGTACGTGCACAGACACATTTAAAATTTTCTGTATGGATAAAGTTGCTACAGCTTGCTTTTTGTTGTTTTCCTAAGGTTCTTCAATGGCATATGCCGAGCAGAGATCCATACTATATTCAAAAATGGCAAAAGATTTGGATGAGAAGGGAGCTGCTTTTCTCAAACAAGGAGAAACTTCTCAGTCTTTATCTCTATCAGATCTTTTTACTCTGAAGGATGGAATTGTCACTCCTGTTCTTAGGGTACATATCAATAGTTGATTTTCCATTTTTTATATTGACGATTACACGGTACAATTTCTCAAACTTCATCAGGAATGTGGTTTTTCTGTTTAATTGTTTTCCTTTTTCATAGCCTGCAGATCCTCCCGTGCGAGCAAATGTGCTGTATCTGAGTACTGAGTATTCTGTCCCAATCTCGTGAGTTGCTATGGATCTTGATGAATATTCTCATCGTATTAAGTATGGATTTTTTACATTTTATAAATGCTTGATACCGTGCCTTTTGCTGCTAAAACAGGGAGGCTGTGAAGAATGTATTTTCACCATATTTTGATAAATGTAAGATATTTCTCTCATCCCATCCCAATCATTTGACTTACTGCACTTCTTTTAATGAATACAAAAAATATGCCGTTTACATTTTTGTTTAAGTCAAGGATATTTATTAGATTTTTGCTTAGCAATCTGGTTTCAGAACTCTTCCATGTACCATTTTAGCATGTTCCATGCTTCACACCACAAGACTCCTGTCCCTGTAACAGAAACAGAGGTATTTATGTATTGATTTTATGTGTCGTCGGTTGTAATCTTTAGTTTTTTCTCGTATATAACATTGGCTACACCCCACTCAGTAACCAACTCTATTTCCAGATTGAAGCTGAAGCTAATGCCGTTGAAGGTGTTGCAGCTACCATCTGCCCATTGAATATTGTCCTCGATCGGGTGATTTTGACCTCAACAGGTGTATTATTGGGTTGTTGGCAGGTAACTCGCTGTTTTTTAAGCCTTACATGATTCCTAAATTATTGAAAGTGTATCTGGTTGTTAATATTATTCATTTCTTGGGTAGATAGTTTTTCAGCTGTCGTTAATAGAATGATTCTCTAGATATTACATTATTGTTTATTTGGAGCATCTTCAATCGAATATTGTATTTTCACTGAAGATTCGGATCAAATGATATGAAGGCTAATTGAAATGAATAATATTTAATAACTCATATTCTGCTAATCAATTTTCGAAAAAATAATGTCCATGTCCTAAATCTCAAATTGCATTTTTTTGACCTTTCGACCTGTTGTTCATTTGTTATATTTTATATTGCTTCACATTGTTGCCATTTTGGTGCTTTATGTCCCTTAACCTGCACGTTTCAGCAAACTATCGATCTGACCTCAAAATTGTCTCTTTTATTACTCTGGTGAATTTTCTTACGAACGATTTCGAATGCTTATTGTGATCGCTCAGGTGGCCTCAGGCAACGATCCGGTAACTATTCGTGCAAAACTAAAAGCTGCTCTTCCACGCGCTCCACAAAATCAGCTTGTAAGGACTCTGTTAACATTTTTATCGCTACTTTAAATTCCACCCATTTTGTAATTAAGCAGTGGCACAATGTTTAGCATACGACAATTCCTAATCATAAGAACTGTCAAGCTAAGACAGTAAGATGGCCGTGGATCAGCAATTTCAGTTCAATATCGGGGGTTCTAATGCTTGGTTTCATCTTTACTACAGTATGACGAGGCAATGCTTCATACATCATTTGCAAGGCTTTTGGGTCACCCAAAGAAGTTTCCCAAGGTACATATTGAATTACGGTTCAATCTTCCGGAGTGAAATTTTGCTTAAGTTAGATTTTCACATATTACATTGGCGATTGCAAGAAAAAAATAATCCATTTTTCACGGTGGCTTTCGTTCGTCATTTCTTCCTTTTCCCCTTGCGCGCAGGACGAAAATAAATCAGAGCTCCAGATTTTTCATGACCTTGTGAGCAAGCTAAACAGCCAAATTCAGGGAACAAAGGTACTCTTCCCTTTCGATAAGTTCTAACTCATATTTGTTTCAAGGTCGTTCATTAAACTTATGCTTACGTTCCGTTTAAGTCTGTCCGCTAAACTTATGCTCATACCATAAATTGCAACAAATTTTCCCTATTTAACATGTAATAACAACTCTGCCGCTGTCGTTACATCACACATACGCTGTCATTTCAACCCATTTCTTGATGAATTTTCTAAAAATATCCTCATGTAACACATCTATTTTACATTAAAATATTACTTTTTCTTAGTCTCCGTAGCTCCAGTCACCACATTTTACACATATTCAACAATTAACGGATTAAACATCAAAATATGCATAGAAGGCCTGCCATTCCAATATTTTCTTCAGTCGCTCTTTTTCCTAGACATGAGTTATACAGTCGATACATTGTTCTTTTTATTACAAAATCGTGGCACTCTGCTTCGGATCTTCTCACAGCATTCTGCAATTCTCTTAACTATAATCATTTGAAAACCATTTAATGCCTAACTTGTTGGTGACATATAAATGTTTATGTTCGAGTCTTGATTATGTTTGGTTGCAGGCAACAGTTTCTGAGCTGTGGTACGTGGAAGAGCTCGATCTGCTGGCTTTGGCCTTGGACGGAAGAATGAAGACAAGGAAGTTTCAACTTGCGTGTTCCCTAGCCTAGCCTAGCCGACGACCTCTTAGTCTTATTTCGACTACAATAATCATAATCCCACTGGTTCGGTTTGGTATTCGATTCTACGCAATTCACCGAGCATTGTAATACATAAAGGAGAGCGCGCACACACATATATGTATAGATGTATGTGTATGTATAGATTATAGAGGGATGATGAGGAGAAGCTTTGCAAATCAGGCAACATTGAGGATGCCTTGGTTGTAATCAATTTTATGGATGTTAAAATTGTATTGTAAATTTGTTGAAACGATAGAAGTCGTGAATTGTGCTTTAAATTTACTGAATTATATTTTGCCCCTCTCAAAACAATTATGATGTTATCTCTAATTTTTTTTTTTTAGTATTTACACAGATATTATTACATTACGCTTATCACTTTAATTAATTTATTTTTTAAATTTCCATAAAATAAGGACAATATAATCATTTATATTCTACTTAATTTAATACTACTACTGTTGGTCTACTTACAGCATATCTACAGATATCATTACATTTAGTATTATAAGTAAAAATATTTTTATTATTTTTCTTTAATTAATACCACTTCCGTCTGTCTGTCTCATTTACATTTTATATATTTACTTTTTTATATATTTTGATCGTGTAAACAAAGACCCACTATTATTCCTTAGATAATGTCTCCACTCCTAATAAGATCTTTCTCCAAATACACTGTTAATCTAATTTTCCCTCCAAAAATTATTAAACTAAACACTTATTTTTTTTTATATTATACTAAAAATTAATTTAAATTCAAAATATTACGTCAAACGCCTATTTATATCACATTGTAAAACTATTCAAATTCAGAACTTTTACTATTTAAATCTCTAACTCAAAATCTCCAAACAAACACACCCTTTAACAATACTCCCTGATGGCCTAATCACTAGTCAGACAGTCATCAGCACAGCAACGAACAAAAAATCAACCACATGATCCGTACCACACTTATTCTGTAGCATGCAAATGAACAACGCGGAGCAATTCTGCACCCTGCTCTCCAAAACCTGCAAATCCCTCCGATCTCTCCTCCAATTCCACGCCCACGCCACCAAATCCGGCCTCGACTCCGACCTCCTCGTCGCCGGAAACCTCCTGCTCCACTGCGCCGTCAACCTCTCCGGCGCCGCCCTCCGCCACGCCGCCCTCCTCCTCCGCCACTCCCCCAATCCCGACCCCTTCATGTACAACACCCTCATCCGCGGCTTCTCCCAATCCCATTCCCCTCACAAATCCATCTCCACCTTCTCCCAAATGCTCAAAAATCCAAACTCCCCACTCGACTCTTTCACCTTCGCCTTCACCCTCAAATCCGCCGCTAACATGCGCTGCTTAAGAACAGGAACTCAGTTGCATTCGCAGGCCTTGCTGCGCGGCCTTCGTAGCCATCTCTTCGTCGGGACGACATTGCTGAGCATGTACGCCGAATGCGGCAGGATCGAATTTGCACAGAAGGTGTTCGACGAAATGCCTGACCGGAATATCGCCACGTGGAACGCGCTGGTGACAGCTTTTTTCAGGTCCGGCGACGTGATCGGAGCCGAAAGGGTGTTTAATTCGATGCCGGCGAAGGGTTTGATCTCTCACAATTTGATGATAGCCGGGTACGCCAAGTTCGGCGAGTTCGTGTTGGCGGAGAAGGTGTTCGACGAAATGCCTAGTAGGGATGACGTGTCGTGGGGTACTATGATCGTCGGGTTCGCGCAACACGGATGGTTCGATCATGCGTTTCGGTATTTTCGGGAGTTGGTGAGGGCGGGGACGACGCCGAGTGAAGTGAGTTTGACGGGCGTTTTATCCGCATGCGCGCAAATGGGCGCGTTGGAGTTTACGAAGATTTTGCAATGTTACATCGAGAAAGTCGGGTTACTATGGATGATAGCGGCGAATAACGCGCTCATCGATGCGTATTCGAAGTGTGGATATACAGACACAGCTCGATTGGTGTTCGAGAGGATGCCGGGAGGAAAGAGCGTCGTTTCTTGGACGTCGATAATCGGGGGTTTGGCAATGCAAGGCTACGCCGAGGAGGCGCTCAATCTTTTCAGCAAAATGGAAGCTTCTAGAATCTACCCTGACGGAACGACTTTCATCGCTGTCCTTTATGCATGTAGTCACGCCGGTTTGGTCGATCGAGGGCGTGAAATTTTCGACAAGATGAGTAGGGTCTACGGTGTCGAGCCTCGGATAGAACATTACGGTTGCATGGTGGATCTATACGGCCGCGCGGGTCAACTTACGAAGGCGTACGAGTTTGTCATCGACATGCCGGTTCGAGCCAACGACGTTATATGGCGAACGCTTCTCGGGTCGTGTACATTTCACGGGAATGTGAAATTGGCGGAGGAGGTGAGGGGAAGGCTATCGGAGTTGGATCCGGGGAATTCCGGCGACCATGTTTTGTTGTCGAACGTCTATGCTTGCGCGGGCAAGTGGAAGGACGCGGCGTCGGTGAGAAAAGCCATGGCCGAGCGTAACTTGGCGAAAACGCCGGGTTGGAGCATGGTCGAAGTGAATAAGGCGATGTACACGTTCGTCGCGGGCGTGAAGGAAGACGACGTGACGATGGAGGCTTACGAGAAGTTGAAGGAAGTAATGGCGAGGGTTAGAGTCGAGGGGGGTTATGTTCCGGAGGTTGTCGATGTTTTGCACGACATCGAAGAGGAGGAGAAGGCGGGCGCGATCGTTGCGCACAGCGAGAAATTGGCGGTGGCGTTTGCGATGGCGAGGGCGGCGGCGGCGGCGGCGCCGGGGAATGGAAATGGGAATGGAGGGGTTGTGAGAGTTGTGAAGAACTTGAGAGTTTGTAAGGATTGTCATGGTGTGATGAAGTTGATTTCGAAGGTTTATGAGATTGAGATTTTGCTTAGGGATCGCAGTAGGTTTCACTCTTTTAGAAAAGGGATTTGTTCTTGTCGAGATTATTGGTGACAATCAAATGAAACCATAATGGGGTTTTGATTTTTGATTTTGGGCTTTAGGTTTTGTCAATTTGGAGTATTGACTTTAATGTGTTTTTTACAACAACTAATATTCTTTATTAGGATATACTCCCTCGCCCAAGCTGCTATAAATTTACTTCTAAACAAGAGATATTACAATGCTTGATTTTTATGTTTTTTTGATAAATTTGGAAAAATTTTAGTTTGAATTTGATATTAAGGGTGTGTTTGTTTGGGGGTTTGGATTTTGAGTTGAGATTTGAATAGTAAAAATTTTGAATTTGAATAGTTATATGATGTGATATAAATGGGTGTTATGATTTGATGTTTTGGGGGAAAAATTTTGGATGAATAGTAGGATGGGTAAAACTCGAACTCCCGACCTAAGGGTCGGGAGGTTGAAAGTTTCGACTACACTCTCATTCCCAGGTAATAATACAATATATAGACAACCCATCTTAATTCAAAAAATATATTTTTTTTTATCATTTTTATCGGTCTCGCTTTAAAATATTTATTTTCTATTTTAGAAAAAATAATCATTCACTAATATAACATTAACTTTTACTTAAATTACAAATATACTGTACAATTACTTTATATGTAAGTTAAAAAGGACAATAATATCAACGTTTTATAAACTTTCACTAACTATTAAAATAATATTATTTTTTTAATTTATTACTCTTTCCGTCTCATATAATTTGTCTCTATTTTCTATTTTCGTCCGTCTCATATAATTTGTCATTTCTGTTTTTAAAAATATAATTATACATTTTAATTTTATTTTAAATTTTAAATTTTATAATTTTTTTAATCTTAATTAAATTATTTAGTTATTTTAATCTTAATTTATAATTATTTTTAGTAATTCACTTTTTAATTATTTACTGATTACACCTTACCTAAATTCTATCACGATTCATATTATATGGGTCAGGGAGTACAAAAGAGCAAAGGTCCATTCGAACGTAGGGAGAGTAAATATTTTGATATTTTCAAATATTAAATGTAATTTTTTATTTTAGTAAATAATATAAAAATAAAATTTAAAATATAATTAAAATACCGTAACATATATATTCGGAAATTGTGACGTTTGAACTAGTTTAATTTAATTTATTAATTTCCCAACTTTTACGTACTCAAAGGCAAATATTCTATTCTATTCTCGGCTCCGCCTTTTCTTAGTTGCTTTAATTTTTGTGCCTTTTATTTATTCCCCGAACACCCAACCCAACCCAGCACAACACTAGAGTCCACAGCAGCAACCGCTCCACCGACGTCCTCGATCTCAATCCTCTAATTCCTTCAACTCGCCGCAATTTCTCCGACGCACTCAGCTCCGGCGCCGTCGACCACACTTCCTAGATCTACACCTATCGCAGCATTTCGAGTCAGGAGATGGGAGGATCTGGAGCAGAAAGCTTCCTCAAAGTGCTTGCGCAGAATTTCGACGTCCTCGCCGGGTACGTTTACTATTAATTGTGTTTCGAAACTTAGTTTCTCAAACTATTAGGTCTTTGGGGAAGGATTTCGTGTTTTCGAGCTTTTTAAGTTATGGAGTTTCTGATGTGTTTTGTGTTATGTTGTTCGAAAATCGCAGGCCTGTTGTTAGCCTGGTTTACCCTCTGTAAGTTGAGAGCCATTCCTACTTGACTCATCTTCCAAGTCAATTAGATGTTGATGCTTTTGTTTAATGTTTTGGTTAATCTATTGGTGAAGATACGCTTCGATTCGAGCCATCGAGACGAAATCGCCGATCGATGATCAGCAATGGCTAACCTATTGGGTGCTCTACTCCATGATCACTCTCTTTGAGCTTACTTTTGCCAAGCTCATTCAATGGTACGTACGTATGTATGTATCCATTATTTTGTATCATAGACTAATTTAGCCTAGCAAGTTCTGACTCAAGCAAAATCAAAATCTAAGGGTGTGTTTGTCCGTGAAATAATTTTGATTTTGAATAGTAAAATTTTAAATTGAAATAATTGTTTGATAAGATATAAATATGTATTTGAATGTAAAATTAAATTTTAATTAAATATAATAAATGAAAAATAATTGTTTGATTTGATATTTTTGGAAGAAAAAAATTATTGGAATAGTAAAATCATAATCAAAGTTTCACAAGTAACCGCACCCTTTTGAGTAATTAGGGATGGCAATGGATAGGGGTAATGGGTAGGTGTAGATCCGACCCCGACTCTATCCATTTACTCGGATATGGATCGTGTCTTTGATAAATTTTTGAGAGTCGGGTCAGGTCCACAGTTTAATAGGGTGGTGGCTGCGGCAGGGATGGAGGCGTCAAGACGATATTAGTGAAGATTTATATCTTTTTTGTATATATATTTTTTAAAGTTATTTTTTTAAAATAGTAAATATTTTTTCAGATAAGTTTGTATTGAATTTTTTTAAATATGGCGGGTCCGACGGGTCTGACAAGTAGGGTCTGAGTGCATACGGATTCGGGTACATTAGGGTCTGGGTGGGGTCTTGGTTCATCTATACCCGACCTATACCCTTCCCATTGCTATCCCTATAAGTAGTGAAAATTTCTCGAGCATTGAATTTCTCGATGCAATTGGATAATAGAGGATTTGAAAAAGCAAAAATTCGAGAAATGTACTAACCTTACGATTGCGCCATAGGCTACCGTTCTGGTCATATGCGAAGCTGATCTTCACTTGCTGGCTGGTGATTCCATACTTCAGCGGCGCAGCCTACGTGTACGAGCACATTGTCAGGCCGTATCTAGTCACACGACAAAAGAGCGTCAACATATGGTACGTACCTACCAAGAAGGACGTGTTCAACAGGCCGGACGACATCCTGACTGCCGCTGAGAAATACATTCAAGAGAATGGACCGGAAGCTTTAGAGACGATGATTCACAGGGTACGCACAAATCTTTTTCCTATCTAGAATCGATCTTTGATGCTACATCATCCGTCAACTAGATTTCGCTTCTCTATGCAGTCTAAGAGGGGGCCGGCATCGAGCAGCAGTATTCACAATCATTCGTACTACGACGACAACTATAGGTACGAGGAAGATTACAGGTACTAAATCATGTCTATGTTCTAAATCTTGTTTACGACGTAGCTGATGATAATGTAATAGCAAAATAGTTTTCATGGCCGCGCCAAATTAATAAAATTACTTCTATTTTTCTAAACATTGATTGCGATGAGATGGTTACTTTGATAAACAACAGCATAATAGTTATTGGAAATGTGATTCCATCGAAAGGATCAAAACATTTTGCAAGTTTTTATTCGAAAACAGAAGAGAACAAGCGAACAATAAACTAGTAGCAGAAATTTCTCGGCAACGTTACCGTCACTTCTTTTGCAACGAACAAACACTGCAGGCGACGCGGACAAGAAAAAATTCAAATATTAGGTACCCCTAATGTTTAGGATCTTTGCTCTATATAAGAACCGGAGAGCCCAGAAGTCCCCAGGACAGTAACCTGCATTGTATCGATAAGAACTGTGAGATAAAATAATATATTTGTTATAGGAACTGTAAAATATTACATAGTAAAAAGAAAGTGAACAAATTCATAATGCAGACATTCTTCCAAGGTGCATATTATCGATGTGCAATAAACAAACAAGACATATGAAAATGACAGTTTAAATGTTGCGTAAATATTTTCACCTCCTAAAAAAATAATCACATTCGAAACATAATTTCTGATTAGAACATTGCATCTAAATTTTAATTTTCATTCAAAAAAAAAAAAAAAAAGTATCACATTCAAAATCTCATTTCTGACTAAAATATTGCATCTAAAACATTCAAAATCTAATTTCTGACTAAAATATTGCATCTAAAGTGTAATTTTCATTTAAAACAACACATTCAACGCCTATTCCCCATTAACAAAACTTCATAAACAATTTGGCTTTGTTCACCCAAGCCAATTTTGGATTACGATTCCCCATAAATAATAAAAAAAATATAAAATAAAGTCAAAAAGTAAAAAAAAAAAATAAAAAAAATCAAACATTCAACTCAAAATAATACTACTCCCCCATTTTTCCATTTTAGTCCGTCCTATAGCAAAATATTCATTTTTTTTTTCTAGTAACTGTATTATCTATCTAACGTTACAAATGCCCTTACATCTTACAATATATTATACAAATACCATTACTTTTATATCACAAGGTTATTTAGTCATTTCTACTTTATTCTTACTACATCCCAATAAAATACTAATATTCTAAAACTACGTGCAAAAAGCAAATGAATATCTAATTATGGGACGAAGGTAGTATATTTTATCTTTTTAACACAGTGCCCGATACTACACATAAAAAATCAATCTATCCAAAAAAGATGGTGAACATGACCTATGGAAATGATGGTTAAAATGTTGGGCATTAATCCATGTTAAAATATTTTCACCTTCTAAGAAAAACTACATTCGAAATCTATTTCGGACTAAAACATTGCATCCAAATTCTATTTTTCATTCAAAACAACACATTCGACCCCTATTCTCCATTAACAACATTTCAAATCCAAAACGCAAACAAGCACACATTCGTCACATTAAATCGACAAAAAAAAGGAACCATACCTTTCCCCACGTGGCATCAAGGCCAGCACACCTCATCTTCAAGTGTATCATCTTCGATCCCAACTCCATCTCAACCTTCTTCTTCAAATAAATTTCATCCGGACCAAATGAAGCCAGATATGCGTTATATCTGTTAAAGATCGTCTTCAAAGCATTGATATATTCATCTGAGAGTGGTTTCACATCCTGTCGAAAAGTATAAGATTAGATGGACACCAAACAAGATCAGGCTCAACCAGAACCAATGATTCCAACAGAGTTCAAGTTACCTCGCCAGTAGCCCCGATAGCATCATCAAGTTCCATTTTTAGCGAGATGACCATCGCTGAAAACTCCTCAACTGCCTCTGCAGCTCGAAACACATTTTTCAGGGCTTCCTGGCTAGCCTTGTCATCGCTGTTTTTGGTTAATGCCTTTTTTACGTCCTCGTGTACTGCAGGCGGGAGTTCATCCCAGTATGCGGCCATTAAATCCTTAAAAGCATTTTTAACATCTGGGTCTTTAATATCAGGCATTTGCGAAACCTCTACACTGAAAGAACGTGTGCCCCCAAGGCGTAAACCAAAAGGAGGCATGCGATCTACAACAAAGGGCGTTGATAGTACATGAGAATATGAGGATCAACAATTTCCACAAGTCCCAAAATTTTTCTAAGAGTCGGGATTGTGCAGGAATCAAAATGATTAGACAAGGTCTGAATAAGCTAAACATGAAGAAATTAACAACTAAACATTCGGCATTGGAAAATTATCAACAAGGGGGTGTGAAAAACTGAAGTCAAATGCAAAAGATGGACGTTCGATCTCATTATCCAAAATCTAGAAATGCAAGAACACATTCAGGAATCAAAATGATTAGACAAGGTCGGAATAAGCTAAACAAAAGAAGAAATAAACAACCAAACATTCGGCATTGGAAAATTATCGACAAGAGGATATGAAAAACTGAAGTCAAGTGCCAAAGGATAGACGTTCAATTGCATTATCCAAAATCTATAAATACGAGCTAACATATTCCTCCTAAATCATGATACATAAGCGGGCAATTGGGAATTAATGATGAAATAGGAATTTATCGACCAAGGCAACATTGTTACAAAAGCAACTTTTTGATCATCCAACAAAAATGGAAGATCTGGGTACTCTCGTAGTCCTTATCTATCCCCTCCCTATCCTCTACAACATAAACGAAATGCACAAACATAAGCCACAATAAAAAAAGGTTGTCGATATAGCTTTCTTTTATACACTGAGGCTTTGGAATAAGACTAAATTTAATCACAACTTCTGCAAAAGCAATCAGCAGACATTTATGCATTGCTAAATTTCAAGAAGAAAAGTTTATTGCCTAATCGCTTTTTCCAGATAAAATAGTGAAGAACTGTCAGTTTCAACAATTCATTATTATAAGGCAAAAAGGATATGTGCTTAACCCTGCGCTGTAATTTTTCTAAGAATTCAAATCAATAATAACGCTGCGATTCAGTGTACATTCAGTCGTCAATACAAATCCTACTGCATATCTCGTTCGTAATTGTTGTTTATCAAATCCTATTTCGCAGTATCACAGTAATCGCCAGTAAAACAGGAGAAATTTCACCAATAACACATACGATGAATTACATATTACAATAAAATCACCAAAGGGGAAAAAGAAACATGAGTGCACAACCGCAAGATTCAATCCAGACTAAAGAAAACATAAACGAATTATATATATATATTGATTGGTGAAAAATAAGGTACTTTGATTAGGCGAAGAGGCGGGGAGCGGAGCGGAAGAGAAATGAAGGCGGCGGACGGCGGTGCCGGCCGCTGCAGCGGAAGACGAAAAAATTTGAGATCGGCGAACGATTGACCGGCACAACGATCTCATCAGCATCATTTTCTCCATTTCTCAATTCCTACGATTCCTTCGAGCAGCTCCTGGTGGCAATCGACGGCTAAATTTATCAGAGCTTTCGACCTGTGGATTGATTTCGATACTTCTCTTCTATTCCCGTAGGCTTCCAGTTTCTCTTTTCTTTTAATCTTTTTCATATTTTCAATCTCCCCCAACAAAAGTTAAATATTGCACTTCAGTATTCAGGTATTTATTTATTCATTATTATTTTTAAAGTTTGAATTTTTAATTTTTTATTTAAATAATAATTAGATATAATACATAATTTGAATAAAAAATTTTCATAAAAGATCTGTATTTTGCTTCTCCTCCAATTTGGAAATTTTGGAGACAGAAAAGATGTATATATATATATATATATATTTATAAATTTATTGTTATACCTTTCATATCATATAGTAATATATACAAAAATTATATTTTACGTATTTTATAGTTAAGTTTAGTTATGATACTTTTAAATTATACTCCCTCGGTCCATTTGCAAGGGTTACATTTATTTTTGGCGCGATGTTTAATAAATAATAGTATTTTAATTATAGTGAATAATTAAAAGTAGTGTAATGATATTTTTGCTTTTACTTTTTTTTCGATGTGATGTAAATTAAGAGTATTTGTGGAAAAAAAGTAGGGTATTTAATGAAATGTAAACTTTGTAATTGGACATCCCAAAATAAAAACTTGTAAACTTTGTAAGCGGACGGATGGAGTATAATATAATTGAAATTACAAAATAAATTTTTTTTATATAAATCAAATTAAATTTATTTTAATTTAATCATCGAATTAATTCAATAAAGCCGTGTAGTTTTAATTAATAAATAAAACATATACATATTTATTTGATTTATTTAGTACTACAAATGATATTTGTAGTCTAATTTGCTCCCTCAGTCCATTAAAATTAGTCTATGACAAGGAGATTAAAAAATAATGAATATTTATTGAAAAAAATATAGGTAATTAGAGATATTTTTGAAAATTTGTTAGAAATTTAAAGTAAATAAAAATAGAATATAATAACATTAGTGATATTTGTTGTAAAAAATATTGAATAAAAAGTAATAATTAAATATTGATTTGCTGACTTCCACGAACTAAAAAAAATAAGAATAATTTTGACAAACAAAAGGAATATTATAATATAGATGGCTAGAGTGGTGTTGTCAATTTATCCCGATCAGTCCATATAAAACAAATCTTCTAGGATATTAGATTCGGTTGAAATCCGCTCAAAGCTCAAACCAATAAGTCTATGGGTTCCTAAGTTATAAAAAAAACAACAAAAATATTGTAGCATATATTGTGTAGAGTAAGTCATGTATAGCTATCTGCATTTTGTTCTATACATATAAAAAAAAAAAAAAAAAAAGGAAAAAGGTACAAGACAAAGATAGCCCTCCTGAGTGCGAGTGCTTGTTAAAATTTGTCCATACAAAGGTTTTTGCAAACATGATGATCTAAAGTGCTGTTGAAGCATGAGAAGAAGATTCAGGGAAATGTTACCAATGAAAGCAGAACATGTTATAGCCTCTCCTTTCGAAGAACATCGAACAAGACTTTAATGTTTTCGACTACCATTCACTGATCATCCGAGGAAGATTTTGTTTGTTCGATGGTGTCGAGCGATTCAGCCACGATTTCTTGAGCCTCTTCGAGGGCAGACTCTTTGTCGTCAGCGGCGTAGAGTATCTTCTTTACGGCCAAAGTTATCTGAAACAAGCGCAGTCAGAAAAAAAAAAAAAAAAAAAAAACATCACTATGAATAATAAACCTTAAATGTGTTCACAGCTAATCCTGTTTCGATCCTTCGACCAAGTCTGAGGGAACAAAGAATATCGCAACAGATAAAGGATCATCGACATCCATTGTGTAAAAAATCATGATTAAAAAGATCGTCGCAGAAACTACAAAGCAACTGATATGCAGTAAAAATGAAATGATTTAGTCGAGCCATTCTTACTGGAATGTTTTCTAATTCGGGTGTCTGACAAAGTACTTCAATGTCGCGTAGTTTCGCAAAGTAAAAGTCTCGTTCCTTTTCTAATTGATCCACAGAAAGCCTGAGGTCCGAAACCTGTATTGCAGGTGAGTTCGTGAATAGGAAAATAAACGATCGCTAATCAAATTTTAAAATGAAGCAAAACCGTACTCTGTTTATATTGACATTTTTGAAACTTTTGACACTATTCATAATTTTTTTCCTCTTACAAAATCACATCATATACCAATTTTTACTATTTCCAAAACTCCAAAACTTCTATCTAAACGGATTATACAAAAATGTAGCGCTACTACCTCTTGCGTCAACGCTTGAATTTCCGATGAAGAATTGGCTCCAAAAGCTGCACCATTAGACCTCTGTTTGGCGCCTAAGAACAAAGAAAGTCAGAGGAAGAAAAAATTGCCCAAAACTAATCGGGAAAAGGAAGTCGGAGGAAGAACTGAGGTATTACTCAGGGATCGACTAAGAGTCGAAGAATCTGCGTCACACGAGCCAGAATTTACAGAATTGTTTGGTTGTAATGACTTAGAGTGCTTTAGTGAAGCCTTGGTGTTCCTCTCCTTCCCACCTTTAGCTCGGCGCTCGACAGGATTGTAGTTCCTGGGGAACTTAATCCAAATATTACATAATTTGTCGAATAATATCGAGTTACAAAAAGTGACTAGCAATTACTTAAAAGGAGGCATACTCGTTCATGAGGCCACCATTCACCGAATCACAGTAACGTTTCATCCATTGTAGAAACTCCAAGTTGTCCAACGGTCGTGCTTTCACGAGTTTATTAACTTCAATGTGCTATGAAGGTTTAGATAAAGAATCACATTTTTGCGAAACAGAAAACTGTTCAGAAAGTTCTAAAAGAACAAAATTGCGAAGGACTACCTTGTCGATTTTTAATTTGTTGAAGACCTCCTGAAGTACTTTGTAGTTCTGGATGTAGTCGTATTCGGTCTTAGCATCGAAGTTCACCTGTGAAATAGGATTATTAGTAACACCTAAAGAAAGTACGGATCCGATCAAGAAAAGCTTCATAAAAATCGAAATAAAAACAATTTTGCACCTTGTGCATCGGAACAACTCCGGGATAGATCATGTCCATCAGCTGAACATGCACGGCGCCGGAAGCAGCCTAAGAAAAGTGATTTTTAGCCGCAATGTAATACGATGAAATGTTACGCAAGCAAGCTTGCATTTTAGAGCAAGTTTCGATGCAATAAAACGTATGTAATAAAAAACATAAATATATAAAACTACCCCTATGTAATTTGTGCATCGCGATCATTCATGTATTTTGATAAATTCCCAAATGCATCTCCGAAATCCAACACTCAAACTTAACCGACTAAAAGTATTGCATCTCAAGCTCAATTGATCATAGAACTTTCATATGCAAATCATTTTCGTGCGACTGAAAATGAGTTGTGGCACAGCATGACACAAGAATTAACGTAAGCGTAAATAGTACACCGCCTAAGCAATATGGAATCGGTTTTCTCATCAGAGTTGTCCTTAAGCCTCTAGATGAATGAAAACATAATCACAATCGCAGTTCTTCCATGGTTATTGCAAGATACAAAGGCTGTCGAACGTCGTGTATCTTTCTTTTACAGACACATACACACCTATACACTCTCAAGATGTAGAACTTATTCTCTTTACTTATATTTTCGTTTAAAAAACATACCACACATGAGTGCGTTCATTTTACAACTATTGTCGTTTTTTCTAGCTTTCAACTATAAAATTACTCTATTTCTTCTCCCAAAACATAACTGAAGGGCTTTAGTCAATCAATGAAAAATAAGTAACTTGGCTTCCATCGACGACATCCAAATCACTATTCAAACAGAAACTCACAACCAAACGCACCCAAATTGTCATCTAAAATTTTATAAAAAAGCCTATTTTCAAATTTTGATTCAAAACATCTAATACCTACTTATGTTTATATCAAACATCTGTTTTCTATTCAACGTTTTACTATTCCAAAGCAAAATATTGCCAGCAACCTAACTTTGCTATGTTTACATACACATTTATTTTAATTCCGACACTATTCGTAAACATTAACTTTATCTCGATCAAATAGCTATGGCTTTTCACAAAACATCTCATTAAATACCTAAATTCTTCAAAATTCTAAAAACTTCTATGTAAGCGAGCCAAATCCTTGATGAATAGAATTTATTTCAATGTAAGATTAAAAGCAGAAGACATGAAGCTAACTTCCAATGGTCAAAAGAATGAACAAAAACAAAATGCAGAAGGTATACATATAGAACACAGATGGAATCAAACCATTCCAGAAAAATCAAATGAATGGAATCAACAACCACATGGAATTCTCAGATCGCCACATTCTCTCCACATCACAAAGCATCGACAATAGGAAAATTTAAGCGAAAAAAAAAAAAAAACAGAAGAAAAGGCCCCAACCACCATAGAAAAACGAATTAGATTCCAAATTCTCTGCAGCTCATTCTTTACCTCTTCAATACGAGAGAGATTGAGCTGAAGCCTCGAATTAATCCACGCAAGAAGTTCATTTCTCCCCACAAAATACGCACTATCCATCATACCAATATTCGACGCCATTGTTCAAAAAATTACAGCGACTTATCAACGAAGATGACAACCGCCTTCACAAATTTTCACGATTACAAGCGAATGCAGATACCCAACGTTCTTTGATTCTTCCAAATTTGGGGAAAGGGGGGAAAATGGAGAGCGGTTTCGTAAATCCAAAAACAAACGGTTTTGAATTCAAAAAACCAACGGGCTGGGCATTGATAATCTTCGGTTGAAGTTACAGGTCTACGCGAAGGAAATCGAAGGGGAAGGAGCAGACGAAATCGCAGAAAATTTATGAACGACGAAAATTTTGTGGTTCGACGAAAAATTTAATCGAAGGGCAGGCTGTGCCAGCGACGCTTGTTCCTTGTGAAAGGGTGCATCAGTTTTGGGCAGTCCTGGGATCTGGAGTCCTCAATGAAATGTTAGTTCATTGTGGTGTTGGAGTCCTCGGAGTGCGTGAAAGTGTATTATTCTGGAGCTGTGCCTGTCATGTTGTTGTCATTCGTCAAGTTCGAATTTCGTTTTATTTTATTTATTTATTTCAAGTGGATAAAATATGACGTGCATTTTAAATAATTTTATAATTGCTACGGGTTAGTGGTCTCTGTTTTAATTAATTTAATTTAATTTTAATTTGGGTATTAATATTATTTTGGTTTGATTTGAATTTCGAATCCTCTAATATTAAATCATATTTTTGTATAGGGCTAATTGTTCAAATAATTCATTGATCCGGGATAAATTCGCTTAATTAGAGTTTGGTAATCGATTCTGAAATTGAAAAAAAAAATAATTGGTTCGAGTTTAGTAGAATTAGATTTGTGCTTAAAAAATAAATTCTTCTCTTTTTGTTTTTGATATATTATTTTTTGGCGAAATTGTGATCGATAATATAGTGAAAATTCTTTATGTTGGTTGACTATACATTTTTTGGTGATTACTTGTATTAATCTTGGAATGTATTTCTTTATTACTCTTACGAGAAAATTATTCGAAATTATATTTATTCATTGGTTATTCTTAATTGTGCAATTTTTTGGGTTATATTTGTGTTAGTATTGAGAATTTAATGAGTTGAAATACATGTGAGATGTACAGTGGTTATTAATAATATGATTTAAGCATATGAATATCAATAAATTACAGGTGGATGTGCCACATGTCCGGATTAGATAATGACATAAGTAAACGAGTTTGAGTTTTATTTCGGGTTCAAAGGTCTTGGTCGTGAACGTCAATTTAGGCTTGACTTTGGTGAATTCTAGACTTAACAAAGTCTATTATGCTCTGGAGCAAGATCGAAACAAAAAAATATATTGTTGAAGCCCAACAAAATATATTCCTGTGAAGTAAAAATAAAATCTAAAATTATAATTACATGCATGTATGATAAATGATTATTTGAGATTAAAAAATTTAAATAATATATTAGTTGGCCCCGAAATCAATTAACTTGCACACAATAACAACAAACTCAACTCCACAATCAGACTACAAAATCTAGCAATGCAACCTGGTTGTTCGTTCTCATATCAGACTACAAACACATACACTGATAACAAAATGATACTCAATTCGGCCAGCCTACACCTGGGATCCAACCCAAACTCATTACAAACTCATCAAGGAACGAATGAGGGCTTAGAGAATTACAATTTTAGATGTTTTCCTTGTATATCTCCAACTATCTAATTCACTTAACTGCCAAATTGGTTACAAAAAATTTAGATTTTCTATATTGATGATTCACCAATCTGTTACACACGTTGTTTCTGAGACCACAGTCACTAAAGACAGGTTTTTGGGTCAATAATAAAAATGTGCGCATTAATAATCTTTGGCCTCAGGTCGCGAAGATCCAATCTCCTCCTGCAACTCAACCAAAATTCATTTGAGCAAATAACTAGCAACAATAATTATGATTGAAATTAAATCCGATGTTTATGGTTGAACGTTACGGAGTTTAATCATTGTTGGTTACCGACGGTTTTGGTTCGGACATTTACTATAGTGAGATTTCTATCTAGAAAATTTACTCTCCCCTAAGGGTGGAGGTGCTCCAGTTATACACTTTTTGAAAACTCTCATTTTGTTCTAATATCCTGACATAGCTCAAATATCTCATTTTAGTTCGTCGGAGTTTCGAAATATTGGAGTGTCACCTAATCTGCAAACGATACATTGCTTAATCATTGAAACATTACGCTACAAATCGAAGGCACTATCAAAACATATTTATTTTGCGGAAAGATGTTTCTATCTCGATTTGACGTGATTATCGAATTTATTTCGTTAATCATATTTTTGCAATATAATAATTTTCTAACATTATTATGTCATATTAGTTCATGTGTTGTATTCGTATATATTCAAAAATCTTGTACTGTCAAATTGTCAATAATATATCTCATGTATATACCACATATATTATATGTGCTGTCAGCATTGTATTGAAAAATTATAGTCATATAATAGTAACAACCACCATCTTAGGACTTTGTATAAAAGTAATTACATGAAACGAAATACATGCATGACGATTAACTAGACAATTCAGGGAAATGGCCCTATACATCATAATGAATTAAATCAAATGGTAAGAATGAAATGACAAAGAAAATGAATTTAATAAAAAAATAATAATTAATTCTTTTATTTTATAAAATGAAAAATTAAGTTAAAAAATATATAAAAAAAAAGTACGGCAATTTGGATTAATCAATAAAAAAAAAAGATTAATAGGATAAGAGAGGTTTTTAATCCATAAGAATCTACGGAGAAATATTATTTATGATTTTTTTTTTGTTTGAATAATAAATTAAAATGTGATGCTTTGTAAAATTATATTTTAATATAATTTTTTAAAAAATTGTAAAAATTAAATACTTGAATAATTAATGAAATGTGATGTTTTTTTAAAAATTGAAATAATATAATTTAAGAAATTATAAATAAAAATAATACTCCCTCAATCTCATAACAAAATATCTATTTTTTCATTTTAGTCCGTCCCATAACAAAATATTAATTTCTTTTTTTAGTAACTGTACTATCTACCTAATATTACAAATACCCTTACAATTTACAATATATTACACAAATGTCATTACCTTTATATCACATATTTAGTCATTTCTACTTTATTCCTACTGCATCACAATATAATTACTAATATTTCTAAAATTATGTGCAAAAAATAAATGAATATCTAGTTATAGGGCGGAGAGAGTACTAAAAATAAATAAATATACTGCTTCTACATTCAAATTTTCTCTTTTTTTTTTTTTTTTCCTGAACATAAGAGAAAAATAAAGATAGAAAATAAAACATTTTCAAACAAGAAATATTTTTATTTCTCTCTTCCTATTTGATAGTACCAAAATCAATAAATCATAATATTAACTGCTAAATAGGCTTTTGACAAAAGCAACAGAGATTAATATATGAAATATGTATTGACAATGTTGATCAATTTCCATAATTGTATTGGTTTGAGATTCTATATACTACTAATATAACTTGATTTTTTTTTTTTTTTTTTTTTTTAGGATTTTTATATGATATAATTTTGATAATCTTATAATTATTTGATTTTACTTTTTATTGTGCATGTTGTTATATATTATTTTTAAAGGGATCAAAGGAGGAAAAATATGTAAATAAAATATTAGAAAAATATTTGAAACAAAAAGAGTATTTCATTAATTAATGTGTCACAATATTAATAAAATATAGAGAAAAAATTAAAACAAGTACTATTGAAATTAAAATTAATCAATTTTGATCGCATTAAAAAAATTATCAATTTTAGTTCCAAATATAAATATATTCAATTAATTTTGATATCACTATTTCAAAATTAATTATAATTAATGTCAGGGGACAAAGAACAATGACATGTAGTTGATTTGGACCAAAACCAAATATGACCATGTATATATATAGTTAATAATGAAAAACATAGCCGTGTTAAACTACAACACAGTCGTGCTCAATTTATTAGTAAAGAAGAAAGCTATGCAGGAATCAATTTACTTTTAATATCAAAGTAACACATAAATCCTAACCGAATTGCTATTGAGGTGAATCGATGGCAACTTATGATTTACGAACTAATTACAATAAATTTTCAACAATTTCATGATCAATTAGGATCTATTTCATAAATTCTCCTCAAGAATCGAACAAATTAGGAGATTAAAAGAACACGGCGTGAATTGATAAAGAGACCGGAGCTATCGTAATAGACACAATTGAAGAGGGCATGGGTATTGCGCTTGCTCAAAGGCGACAAATTACCAGTTTCTGCGGGCTTCATCTCCATCAATAAATCGAACACAGTCGTGTTCAATATAACTCGGCTGCAGTGGCGGAGGTCTCTGCCATTACATTGACTGTATTGTTGGTTTTATAAATTGTTTATCTGTTCATATTTGATTATTTTTTACCAAATTAATATTTTTATATTAATTGAATACGTTATATATATATATATATTTCTATCAATTTTCTTTAAAATAATAATAATATCTACATTTTTGACCTCAACTAAACCTTTAATCCTTTCGGCGGAACAATTCTGGCTCCGCCACTGCTCGATTGTGTTGGTTCAGATCAACTATACGTTATCCTTCTTTGCATCTACGTCATCAATTACAATTAGTTTTTAAATAGTATGACCAAAATTGATTAAATTTATTTATATCGATACTAAATTTAATGAATTTTTTTTTAATTGGACCAAAATTAATGAATTTTTTTTAATTAGATCAAAATTTATTAATTTTAATTTCAATAGGACTTATTTTGATTTTTTCCTTAAAATATATATTATATATTCTCAGTCCACTCATATAATATATACTTATATTTCTATTTTGAATTATTTAATTATAAATTATTATTTCTAGTAAGTATAGATTTTTTTTTTCTTTTTTTTTAAATAACTTTATTTTATTATCAAATTTTTAAATTTACATCAAAAACAAAAATATTTTATACAGTATTTAACTATTCACTGCAATTAAATTTTGAGCTAAAAAAAATTATTTCTAAAATAGACTCAAACCACGACGAAAAATAAAAAATAAAAAAACTACTAATTATTGTTGAGAAATAGTATAATTTTATTGTTTGATAATATATTGTGAAAAAAAAAAAAAAAAAATCAGCATGAAATTTGAACAATGATTTTCTACTTAACCCTTGCTTCCAATCTCACAGGCAAACCGTCTTCCATTCTCGCCGTCAACGTCTGGATAAACACCGGCTCCGCCCCATCCGCCGCCACCGGCACCACCCTGAACCGCCGCAAGACCGCCGCGACCACTCTCTTCATCTGAATAAACGCCATGTCCTTCCCCAAACATATTCTCGGCCCGCCTTGGAACACCGGAAAACTGTACTCATCCTTCCCCACAAATCTCCACTTTCCGGCGCCGCCGCCGCCGGCGTCCCTCTCCAGCCACCGCTCAGGGCGGAACTCCGCCCAATCCTTCCCCCACACCGCCTCCGCCCGCCCCATAGCGTACGGATGGTAGACCACCACCGCCCCCTTCTCCACCACCGTCCCGTCCGGCAAAACGTCGTTGTTTTGTGCCGTTTTCGGATCCATCGGAATCGGCGGGTAAAGCCTCATCGTTTCGCAGAGAGAAGCGTGCGTGTAAACCATTTCTTTAACTTCCTCGTACGCTGAAACTCCCGACGTGTTTTCGATTTCTCCGACGACCTCCTCCTCCACGCGCCGGTGGCGCGACAGCAGCCAGAAAAACCACGTCAGCACGGCGGAGGTCGAGTCCCTTCCGGCGAGTATGAAACTTATGACAATATCTGTAACGAATTCCTCGTCGGTGTGACCTGAGCTCAAAAACCTCGACAGAAGATCACCGCCGTCGCCGTCGCCATCGCCGCCGCCGTTTGATCGCCGGAAAAGCTCTTCCTTCTTCGCCCTGACGATTTGGATCGCCGATTCCCGGACATGGCCGACGGCGATTTTGAGCTCCCTCTCGGATCCGACATTTAGGGCTTTTTTGATTTTCCACAAATAAGGGAAAAACGCCTGGAACCTGTCGCCGGAGAGCTTCATAGCCTTTTCAAACGCGGCGGCGAAGCTCACCGGCGGCAGCGACGGCGACGGCGAGAGGTGTCCGGGATCATATCCGAATGCAATTTTGCAGATATTATCAAACCCTAATCGATGAAGCACGTCTTGTAAGTCCAGGACCGCCGCGGCGGCGTTCTCCATGACCGGAATCAGGCGTCCGGCGATCATCGAATCGACGACGTTTTCGACGAATTTCCACAAAGATTTCGTCTTGAATTCGTGAATTGCAATCTGTCGCTGGAATTTCCACATCTCCCCGTCGGAATTGAAAATTCCGTCGCCGAGGAAGTCTCTCAAAGTCCCCCGGAAAGCTTCCCCTTTACTGTAATTCTTGAAATTGGACTTGAGAATGTGGCGGACGACGGCGGGGTTCGCCGTGAAAATGGTTTTCCGGCCGAAAGGGTGGCGGAGCAGGAAAGTCAGCGTCGGGGTGGAGGTGACGATCTCCGATGTCCATTGGACGAATTTTTGTTGATTTTTCCAGATGGATAAGATCGATCCGATTATAGGATAAGATTTAGGAAGCTTGTCGGAAGAAGACAGGGCGGTTTTGGGCGTCGATTTTAGTTTCCATAGGAAGAAGTAAACTATAGGAATGGCCATGGCGGCCATGGCCGAGGCTGCAATATGGAAATTGATCAGCATGTCTGGTTGGAGATTTTTTATTTTGGGAAGATAAGAGAGAGTGGGGTAATAAATAAACACAATATTGGAAGATGTTTGTGTAGTAGAGCTTCATTTTATTGCAATTTATTGTTGTATTTTAGATGTACTCTAAACCCTTTTTATTACGACATAGCATAATGCAGCTGGTACTGTTGAATTTTATGTATCAATGTGGGCATTAGTTACTGTGCTAACCGCAATGAGTGTACACTGTACTGTACTGACAACACACTGAAATAAAATTTAACAGCATAGCAGTCCGCAAGGATGATATGTGCTGCGGAGAATGAACTTGTGATCGCGAGGTTATGGCTTCAAACTTCAACACCTTCAGGTCCACCTGCCACACACATGGTTCGCCTTGCCTTATTGGACCTAGTTTGCAGGCTATTAGGTTCGAGCAAGGATTTATTTAGTGCGCACGTAGTAGCATTGCGGATTCCCACGTTATTAAAAAAAGAAAAGAAAAAAGTAACAGTTCTCCGCCAATAGTAATATATTGTGTTGTTGTTAGTATATTGCGCATTGTTCAACATAGTGCCGAATTTAAGACCACATATATATATATAACATACGACAATAGTTCATAAATAATACTGCCTCCATCTTATTTCAAAGAGTCACTTTTTTCTTTTTTTACAATGAATAAAAAAATAATAGTATTTTACTAATCAATGAAAATATACAAAATTGTTCTATATTTTTGCCTTTATAAAATACAAATAAAGTAATGATTTATTAATGCAATATATATTAATAATATATATATATATATATTGAGAGAGAACATACAGCACAAAATAACAATTTATATAACACATAATCTCTCTCTTCACCCAACAATTTTTTTTTATAAATATTTGACTTTTAGTAATAAGTATTTGAATTTTATTTTTTTGATTTTTTTGACTTTTATTAAAAGTATTTTGTATTATTTATTATTATTTTGAGGAATTGAAATTTAAAAAATATTATTGGATGAAGACCCTCGTTTATTAATTCTAAGTTATATACTTAATTAGCATACATAACAATTCCCTTCAATAGGACTAACTGTTTTGCAATTAAAACTTAAGTTGGTATTTTTTCATTAAACTATTGTCTATTTTTTTTTAAAAAAAAAAATGAGATCACCTGAAATTATTTATTTTCATTTTTATAATTAAATAAATATTTATATATATATATTTTTTTAAGTTTGATTTTTGGTATAAATATACAATTAACATAAGATACATTAGACAAATATTGTGTGACAGACAAGACTAAAATATGACAGGAGAGTCTTGAAAATTTCAATTATTATTTGGTTATAATTTTATATATTTTTTTTAGAAAAATCATTAAAAATATAATAATAAATCGAACATAATTAAAATACAAAATTATGAAATTCCAAAGGCTAATACTATATATAATTCTTGGACTTATGCCCAAAATAGTGGGCTATGTTTGAATAAGATGCAATAAATGTGTGGTTATTTAAAAGGCTTAATTAAAGGGCATAAACAACCTAATCGTACTAGAGAGTAATAAAACAAGAGGGAATAATCTAGTAGAAAACATTCAATGCACAAATTCGGAAGAATAATAATGTCAAAAATTATACAAACTCATACTTATGTTATATATATATATATAAATAATATATTTTTCACAATATTGTTGTTACACAAAAATTTCATCGACAAGAGAAGATTGACTTGAAAATTTTCAATCAATACGGACAAAATTCGATTTAGGCCGATCAAATATAATTTTGACAGCGTCAAACCTTGTCATCAAAATTGGCCTAATCTTGTAGATGAAATGACTAATATTTCTCGGCCGAAGATTATTCCACGGCCAATTAGGCATAAGAATACTAGTCCAAATAATGATCGATAGCACAACCCAAGCGACGATCCATGTAAATTGGAGGATAATTAGTCGACAAGATAATGTGGATTGATTGGACATTAATCTCAGATCAGTACTATGTTGATTTGATTCGGTCAATACATATTTGACAATACGTATACATTACCAGAAATATATAAAATTGTCAAAATTTATCTCGAAATCTATACACATACAATACAAATATAAAATTTCACAATGCTTGCTTTTATATAATAGATCATTTGTTGCGCTATATAAAAAGATGCATTGTTTGTCTTGATTATAGATATTAACTTATATAAATCAGTAGTTAACTCAATGAGCATCCTAATTGCCGTTTTTCGGACTAAAAGAATTGCATATTATCTTTTTCTAAGAAGAATAGTATATATAAAAAAAAATGTTGACAATAAGAATTAAAAGCATAAATTGTATAGTTTTTTTTTCCTCAATCAATTTTTATATACTTTTTATGAGTGAATAATATTAATAAAAATAAAATTAAACAACATATTCTTTTTTTTTTTCACATATACATTTACTTTTGATAGTAGTAATATTTATGTATAAAAATATTTATAATCTTACTAAAAAGTAATATGATTATAAATAAATATGAAAATATAAATATTTATAATTAGCGTTAGACGGACTAAATTGAAAATATATATACATTAAAGATAGACCGATAAAGTATTATTTACTATTAAGATATTTATAGATAACACGTGTTATATACTGGTGTATAAATATGTAAAAAAGATGCATAAATAATAATAGTAACACTTTATTATTAATTTGTAGCCTCTCAAATGAAAAAGGTATTGGAGATAAGCATTTTTTCATAGAGCATTGTAAAATTTTTAAATTATTATTTTCAATATATGGTTTTTTTTTTTTTTTTTTTTTTTTGTATTTTAGAGCAATATCTCGACGATAGGTTTTAATTTTATCATTCGACACCGAAAAAAGTCTCGGACCGGTCATATGTCCTTATATGGCATTGTCCTTATATGGCATTGTCAGCACTAAGGTAGCGCTTCATGACATTTTTCCGTCAATGCCTGTAGTGCCGGCAATGTGATATAGGATCACGTGATTTTTCTAATGTTAAAAAGAGCAAAATTAAATTTTACTTTCAAAATATTGTCTTAAAATTACCTTCTTTTTTTTAATGTCTAAAGGTGGTAATTTTTTCTATTTTTACTTTTATTTTAGTATAAAAATTCAATTGTCTTTTCAATTTTTATTTTTTTTTATTTTTTGAAAATATAAGAAAAAAAATTAAAACTAGGAAATAAAAAACAATTTTATTTCTAAATTCATACTGTGAGTTTTTTTGGAATTAGTTTGAAAAAATTTGGTTTAAATTAAATTTTTTTTTCTATAATTTTAAAAAGTTGCGTTTATTTGAATTAGTAATCTTTGTTTGGATTTGAGGATTTTGATTTATATTGATTTGATAGGTAAAAAAATAATGATATAAAATATATATTAAATTAAATTTATAAAATGAAAAATGTATAATTTGAGAATTAATTTGTATTAATTATAAATAAACATTTACATTCTTTTTATTTAATTGTATTATATAAAAAATTTATTCTTTGCAAAATAATATATATATAGTATAATTTTATTAAGTTATTATTATTAAAATTATAATAACAATAACAATAATCAAATTGTTATCATTCATCGACCTCATTTTTTTCTACCAAACACTCTCATATACCTTCATTCCTAGCTTTGATTCTCACCGGAAAACCATCCTTCATTTTTATCGTCAACGCCGCCACAAGCACCGGCTCCGCCCCTTCCGCAGCCGGCACAACCCTAAACCGCCGCAAGACGGCGGCAACAATCCTCTTCATTTGAATAAAAGCCATATCTTTCCCCAAACATATTCTCGGCCCCGCCTGAAACACCGGATACGTGTACGGATCCCGCCCCACAAAACACCACTTCTCCTCCGGCGACCGCCGCTCCAACCACCGCTCGGGGCGGAACTCCGCCCAATCCTTCCCCCACACTTTCTCGACCCGCCCCATTGCGTACGGATGGTAGCTAACTCTCATTCCTTTCTTCACCACCGTCCCGTCTGGCAAAACGTCGTCGTTTCGAGCCGCCTTCCCGTCCACCGGCACCGGCGGGTAAAGCCGCATCGCCTCGCAAAGCGAAGCGTGCGTGTAGACCATTTCTTTAACCTCCTCGTACGCCGACGATGCCCCGGACATGTCGTCGATTTCCGTGAGGATTTCGTTCTCGACTTGCGGATGTTTGGATAGTAGCCAAAAAAACCACGTCAGCGCGACGGAGGTTGTGTCTTTTCCGGCGATAATGAAGCTTATCACTATATCTGCGACGAAGGTCTCGTCGGAATTCACCGAATTTAAGAATCGCGACAATAGATCATCAAATTGGTTGTTTGAGGATGGATTTTCCTTAATCTCTTGCATTTTTTGTCGAATGATTTTTAGCGCCAGTTCCCGGACTTCGCCGACGGCGATTTTCAGGTCCTTCTCCGACCCGATGTTCAAAAACTTTTTAATCTTCCACAAGTATGGAATGAACATCATGAATCTCGTGACGGAGAGCTCCGACGCCTTCTCAAATGCAACGGCGAATTTCTCCGTTGGTAGCGACGGCGATAGGTACTTCGGATCGTACCTGTTATATTTTGCATAATTTTAGAGTGAAAATCTATCAAATTCAATAGATTTAAGTAATAGTGCGCTAATAGTCTCACCCAATTATAAATATAATCAAATAATATTTGATAATTAGTCTATTGAATAATTTTTAGTTAATTATTTATTTTAAATGTTTAATAGATTAATTTGTTAATTTTATTTTTTTTAAATTCTGAAAACTAATTTCTTGTATACTACAGCATTTTACAATTATAAGTTTATTAAAAAAATAAATTAATCAAAATTTCACATAATAAAAATAAATATTTAGATGATTTATCTGACCTGTTTAAAAAAATATTAAACGAATTAACTGATCATTTTCGAGTTGAAATAATTTGAGCGGGTTGAATATAAATAGTCCGATCCGTCTAAAAATTCAACAAATTCAAACCAGACCCGACTAGACAATTTCCCAGCTCTAAGCACACTACACTACTTATATCTAAAATACTCCCTTCGTCCGTTATATATTAGTCCATTTGGATTCAGCATCGGAATTAAGAAGAATGAATATTCTACTGAAAAAGTGACATATAATTTAGGGTATTTTTGTAAATTTAGTTTAAAAGTAAAATAAATAAAGAGAGAATTTAATAAAATTAATGGTATTTGTTGTAATTAAATATTAACTAAAAAAGGTAATAATGGCCCGGTGGCGTGGGGTAAACTGTGTTCAACACCCCACGACTCCAAGTGACCTACGACATATAGTTCACCTAATGTAACTTGTTGTCGAACCTAAGTTCGATGGGGTTTAACCTGAGCTTATCTGCTGTATATTATTATGGCATAAAAAATAAATAAATAAATATCAAACAGTACCCGAAGGCGATTTTGCAGATATTGTCGAAGGCGAATCTGTGGAGAATGTCCTGAAAATCCAGCGGCGGCGCAGCCGCCTCCGCCGCCGCCGCATCCTGAAGGATCGGAATCAGGCGACCGGAGATCTCTGAATCAACGACGGTCTCCACGAATTTCCGGAGAGATTTGGTGTTGAATTCGTGGACGGCGATCTGGCGCTGCAACTTCCACATCTCGCCGTCGGAATTGAAAATTCCGTCGCCGAGGAAGTCGCCCAAACTGGTCCTGAAGAACTCTCCTTTATCGTAGTTTCCGAAATTGGTTTTGAGAACGTGCTTCACGACGGCGGGGTTCGCCGTGACGATGTTCGTGAGGCCGAAGTTCTGATTGAGGTAGAAAGTGAGTGTCGGAATCGACGTGGCGATGTCCGACGACCACTGGACGAATCGATGTCTGTTCTTGACGATGGCGAAGAAGGAGCCGAAAATAGGGTACGATTTTGGGAGCTTTGGGGAAGAAGAAGGGTGGGTTTGGTATTTGGGGGTCAGTTTGTAGAGCAGTAAGAAGATCAATGGCGGGAGGACGATGGAGAAGACGATGGGGGTTTCGAACAGGCTCATTGTTTTCGGAGAAATCTGGCACGTGCGGGTTGCAGGGGGAATGGGATTGTTATGTTGATGGTGGTGGGGGTTGGCTATATAAAAATACTATGAAAAGAATTTAAGTAATCTACCATGAATACAGTTATGTATTTAGAAAATATATTAGGAAATTACTGTGATAAAATTATATTGAAATTAATTAAGAAATAAATATAAGGTAAGGAATAATTGAGAATGAAGTATTTGTAATTGGACCAAATTATTGCTATAGTTGAGAATAAAGTATTTGTAATTGGACCAAATTATTGGAGTTGGAGATTGGTATCCACGCGCTCCGTTTTCGATGTATATTATACTGAAAATTAATTTTATATTTAAAATATTACATCAATATTTATTTATATTATATTATTCAACTATTCTGATTCAAAATTTTTAATGTTCAAATCCCAACTCTAAATTCAATCCCTAAAAACATGTGTTTGATCGTAGGTTTTTATATTTTTCACTACTTAACTTTTATATTATCCAATTTGTTATTTCACATTTGTAAAAATAGTTTCAATTGAGAACAAAAAAGATTAATTTTGCGTTATAATATAACTTTTCTCTAAATTATTTCTACAATGCTTTTTTTTTTTTTTTAATGTTCTTTGAATCCTTTTCTTCTTAATTCACCAATTTAGACAAATAATTCATTAATATATATATATATATATTTCTTTTAATTTCTTGTTTTTTTGACATGAAAATCTATAATCACTATTTTTTAAGTATATTTTGGATATATTTCTAACCGAATCTAATAGTTTGCAAATTATGCCCAATAAAACAAATCACACTAGGTTAATCATGTATGACAACCAAAATCCAGAGGCATCCATCGAAGATTTTGAACTCATAATCTTACAGTCACGAGTTCACCCTACATCACCAGATCATTTTTTACTGGACAAATAATTCAATTATTGATCGACAAATTGATGAATTAGAGTTTTTTGAAAAATATTCAAGCTCATGATTGGATCATGGTTCCAGTCGCATTTCAAACCAATGTGAAGTTTTTCGAATTCATAACAAGATTTCTTCGCAATTTTCACATTCTTCGTAAAAATCAACAAATGGATGAAAGAGGCATGATGTCAAGAAAATATTATTGCGCACCAAAACACTTTTATGAAGCTGAATAAAATCACTTAAAAAAGTTTTTCCAGGCTAAGAAGAAGCACAATTACGTCCTCTTTAATCCAAAAATTTTGGCAAAATAGCTTAAAATCATTTTCGAAATTCGCTGAAAATTCTCTTTGATTTTAAATTTCGTATTACCTACTCAAGATTTTCAAAATATTACATAAAAAAATCCTCTATGTTAGTACTTAATTACGATTGCAATTCACGCGCTCAGAATCGATAGTTAATAAAGGGTAACAGGACAGTTAATATTTCATGTGTTGAGGTGAGCATGACTGAACAGTACGACATACGTTACGATTATTGCGCTATAGTATACAAGTACAACACAAGGAGCAGTTGTATTTAGGCCATTGAATTGCAATTGCCATTAAATACTAATGGAAAGAGATTTTTATACAATATTTTTGGAATCACGAGTAAGTAATATGCCTAGTAATCATTACATAGTCCATATATATTTGAACTCACCGAAAAATCGGTTTTAAAAATTTCGAATTTAATTTACATTAATTAAACTTTCTCTAAGACAGTCAAGAAAGATTGGAGGATATGACCAAATATGGCCTTTGGACGAAGACAATTCGGAAGAAGGCACGGTCCTTTGGTAAAGGATAATCTAGCGAAGGGCGCAACTCCAAAACAAGGGCATCCAGAGGGAAGAACAAGGTACCCTGCGAGGGCAGTGCGGCAGTGACTATGTCCTCGAGAAGACAACGCCCTCGCCAACAAAAAGACACTGAGTCATCTGACTTTTCCGGCAGAAATGGATAGACCATGTCGATGACAGTTCCAAATACATTGAGACAAAGGAAAACGATAAGGACAAAGTGAAGAAGTTGGAATAAAAAACTTCCTATAATCTAGGAAGTGACAAAGTAGAGATTAGTTCCTAATGTTGGGGATTATAAATAGGCATTAGAACACAGCTTCACACACATGACTAGAGCGGTTAACGATCTGAGTCGAGTCGAGCCAAATTTTAAGTTTTTATTAACGTTCGCGAACAAAGCTCAGGCTCGTTCGTTAAGCTTTCGAGCTCGTTCGTAGTGTTTGAGTTCGGCTCGTTAAGAATTTTTGTTGTTTGAGCTCGTGTTCGTGTTCGTGTTCGGCTCGTTTAGGCTCGATTAAATTCGTTCGAACTCATTTGTCTTATTTTTTTAAAATTTATATATAAATTATAAAGAAAATTTAAAATTATTTTATTTATATATTTTAAATTAATATTTTATTTATTTATAAATTATAAATTTATATGTATATAAAATATTTATAATAAATATATTATTTAAACGAACGTATAACGAGCCTGTTTATGTTGTTCGGCTCGACTCGTTAACCTTCGCGAACGAGCTTTAACCGAGCCGAACCGAGCTGAGTTCACAAACTGCTCGGTTCGTTTAACAGCTCTACACATGACTCACTACACAACAAAGTTTTTTCTTTTTTTTTTTCTTTTTTTTTAAATAGTTTTCTTTAAAGCTTTATTTTTATTTTTCTTGCAAATTTATGAATTCAGCTTGCTTTACATTGCTTTCAGCATATTTCATCCAAATATGTTTAATTTTTTCTAGATTCATAGTTAGAGACACGGATTCCTTCGGAATTATTTTAATACGGCGCTGACCTTACAATTCAGGGCCGTACACTAGTTACTTTCGATTGTTCGAAGCCATCCAAGGTTAAGGACTGCACGACCCCATACCCGACAATAAGGGAATATCTGCTCAATGTTCAACAAGGCTTTTTGGGGTACTTGCTGAGACCCTAAGCCGATCTCCATCCTTTTATCGGCGACAATCGTTTGATTTCAAGGGCGAAAATTAAAAAATTATAAGAATATTTGGGACCTCACAAAATCCGGTTCCAAAACACGATGTTACTACAAGTAGCATATTATTTATATTAACGTAATATAAATACATCACATGAACTAAATAACACATGACACAACCTCACACATCATATCAAATAGTTGATTTTAGTATTTGATACACTCATATACAACATACGTTTTAATTATGAACATATAACACATGTAATAAAGACATGTGTTGTGAGACATGTGCTGTGTGTTTGTTTGGACCTTTAAATTTTGAATTATGATTTGAATAGTAAAAATTTTGAATTAAAATAGTTGTACGATGTGATATAAATAAATGTTGATGTGATGTTTTGAATGTAAAATTAATTTTTAAAATAATATAAAAAATAAAAAATAGATATTTGATTTAATGTTTTGAAACGGGGAGGAAATTTTGGACAAATAGTCAATTTTTTTTTGCAAATTCTCTCAAACAAACACACCCAAATTTGTATATTCTATATGTGCACGATACTGATTTTTCAAATCAAGGCAAGAACCATTCCTATATACCGTTATTCCTAATTTCGATTCTCACCGGAAACCCATCCTTCATTTTTATCGTCAACGCCGATACAAGCACCGGCTCTGTCCCTTCCGCCACTGGCACAACCCTAAACCGCCGCAAGACGGCGGCAACAACCCTCTTCATTTGAATAAAAGCCATATCTTTCCCCAAACATATTCTCGGCCCCGCCTGAAACACCGGATACGTGTACGGATCCCGCCCCACAAAACACCACTTCTCCTCCGGCGACCGCCGCTCCAGCCACCGCTCGGGGCGGAACTCCGGCCAATCCTTCCCCCACACTTTCTCGACCCGCCCCATCGCGTACGGATGGTAGCTAATTCTCATCCCTTTCTTCACCATCGTCCCGTCCGGCAAAACGTCGTCGTTTCGAGCCGCCTTTGCGTCGACCGGCACCGGCGGGTAAAGCCGCATTGCCTCGCAAAGCGAAGCGTGCGTGTAAACCATTTCTTTAACCTCCTCGTACGCCGACGATGCCCCGGACATGTCTTCGATTTCCCTGAGGATTTCGTTCTCGACTTGTGGATGTTTCGACAACAACCAGAAGAACCACGTCAGAGCGGCGGAGGTGGTGTCTTTTCCGGCGATAATGAAGCTTATCACTATATCCGTGACGAAGGTCTCCTCGGAATTCCCTGAATTTAAGAATCGCGACAATAGATCGTCGAATTGGTTGTTTGACGATGGATTTTCCTTAATTTCTTGCATTTTTCTTCGGACGATTTTTAGTGCTAATTGCCGGACTTCGCCAACGGCCATCTTGAGCTCCTTCTCCGACCCGATGTTTAGAAACTTTTTAATCTTCCATGAGTATGGAATAAATGTCAAAAATCTTTCTTCGGAGAGCTCCGCCGCCTTCTCGAATGCGACCGCAAATTTCTCCTCCGGCAGCGACGGGGAAAGGTATTTTGGATCGTATCTATTAAATTTTGCATATATTTAAAATTAAGATTATCCAAATAATAATATTATGAATAGTCTCACCCAATTAAAAATAAAAAAATTAAATAAAAGGCGAAGCAAACAATCTAATAATGAAGATATAGTAAAGTAAGGTATATTCAATTAAAATTTTATTGATTTTTTTAGGATTGAAGACAACCAAATTTAAAAAGTTATAGATACAGTATAGAATTTGACTTGATCTTTTATATTGATTTAAATGAATTGTCAAAATATTGACAAGATTGTTGAGAACAGAAAATTGAAAAACAAAATTTAATATTTGTAAATAGTATAAAAATAATAAATATATATAAAAATACAAAAAGAACACATTCTTAGAATTATTTTTTATATACAAAATTTTAAAATTTTTATTATTTTTTCCTATAATTTTAGAAAAAAAAATTAAAAAAATTCAAACTAAATATCTTCATAGTTTGTGAAATCAGAAGAAAACCCATAAAATCTCAAACCTATTAACCACTGATATCCAAAATATCAAACAGTACCCGAACGCGATTTTGCAGATATTGTCGAAGGCAAATCTGTGGAGAATGTCCTGAAAATCCAGCGGCGGCGCAGCCGCCTCCGCCACCGCCGCATCCTCAAGGATCGGAATCAGGCGACCGGAGATCTCTGAATCAACGACGGTCTCGACGAATTTCCGGAGAGATTTGGTGTTGAATTCATGGACGGCGATCTGGCGCTGCAACTTCCACATCTCGCCGTCGGAATTGAAAATTCCGTCGCCGAGGAAGTCGCCCAGATTGGTCCTGAAGAACTCTCCTTTATCGTAGTTTCCGAAATTGGTTTTGAGAATGTGCTTCACGACGGCGGGGTTCGCCGTGACGATGTTCGTGAGGCCGAAGTTCCGATTGAGGTAGAAAGTGAGTGTCGGAATCGACGTGGCGATGTCCGACGACCACTGGACGAATCGATGTCTGTTCTTGACGATGGTGAAGAAGGAGCCGAAAATAGGGTACGATTTTGGGAGCTTTGGGGAAGAAGAAGGGTGGGTTTGGTATTTGGGAGTCAGTTTGTAGAGCAGTAAGAGAATCAATGGCGGGAGGACGATGGAGAAGACGAACAGGCTCATCGTTGAGTTTTGGTGGCACGGGATGGGCACGTGCGGTCGTACGGAGGGATTGATTTGTTGATGGTATTGGCTAAATAAAAATGATATGAAAACAATTTAAGTAATCTACCGTAAATATATTTACCGTATTTAAAAAATATATAAGGAAATTACCGTGCTAAAATGGTATTGAAATTAATTAAGAAATAAATACTTCTTCCTTCCGTAAAGAGAGTAACGCTTATTTTTTATTTTATTTTCTTTTATGTAAATTTTGATAATTAGTATTATATTGTGTGATATAAAAATAACAGCATGTAATATTTTCTTCGTCCTCCTCTAAGGATCACATTAATTTTTGTTTCATTGTATTTAACATTAAAAATATTTTTATATTTGTATAATTTTACAATTTTTTTAATTTGTACTAAGCTTTTGATATAATAATTAATATTCAAATATTAGCAAGTAAAAAATAAATGGCTTTTGAAATTGAATTTTATTATTTTATTTTCTTTAAAAAATACTATTAAATTAAATATTTACTCTCCGTTCCATATTTATTTATCTCGTTCGGTTTTGTTTGGTTTTTGACAGAATTTTAAAAATATAATATTATATCGAGATTCAATAGAAATAAAGGTTAACGAAATTAAATTAATCTTATTTATTGTATATTACTTCATCCGTTATTGAAATTTATGCCCATTTTCTTTTTGAGTTGTCATCGAAAAATATTCTCATTTTTTTTAAGTAAAAAAAATTTTATTTTTGTACTATTTTTTACTATAAAAAAAATAAAATTAACAATTATTACTCACTTTTACAATTTTTTTTAATTGAAATTAAAAAAATAAAAGAATTTAAAATAAATAAATATAAACTGACAGTGTAAACTAAAATCGATGGTTTTGAAATGAAATAATTAAAATTTTGGAAGATTTAATTTCGATTTGACCTTTCAAAAAATTGAAATTAATAATTTTGATCCGAACTATTTGAGCAAATTTATTTTGGTATTTTAAATATATATATTTTTAAAATATTATTTAAAATATATAAAATTTTAAAATATTTGTAATTTTTATATTTACATCTAAACGTTTTCTATCTTATTCATATTATTATAATAAATTATTAAATACATATAAAATAATAACTATTTATTATCACATGTTCTCATTCACAATTCTTTAGCAAAAAAGTTGCTACTTGTAAGTTTTTAAACCTGGTTTTATTATTTTCAATTCTTTTTCCCCTAAAAAATATTAAATAAAATATTTATTTTTTATTTATTATATTATACTAAAATTTATTTTTAAATTCAAAATATTACATCAATATATATTTATTTCAAGTCAAATAATTATTTTAATTCAAAATTTTACTATTTAAAATCAAAATATTACTGGTAAACACACTTTCATGGTTAAATTCGATTAATTAAGAACTCAAACTATGTTCTAAAAATTGTTAATAACAGAAAAAAAAAAATCATTACAAACTATTATTGTATTTTTGTGTAAAAAATAAAATGAAGTATAAAATTATTTTAATATTTGTAAAAAAAATAACAAAAAAAATAAATTTCAAATTACTGTTCAAACTTCTTTTTTTCAAAATTCAAAATTAATCTTCTTAAGATCTATTCTAAACTAATGCAAAAACAAAAGTATAAGGCGATCTCCAACCCTACACTCTATTTTTGCAGTTGTTACAGTAAAAATGTAATTGATCTACAGTAATTTTAATCCAATCATAAACTTTAATTTTTACTCTAAAAAGTATATTTCCTATATATTCCTCTTTTATATTATTTTATATAACTTTTCATATTTATAAATTACACTCCAACTTAATTTATTTTTACATTAGATCCATACATATATAATTTATATTACTTTTCAACAGTAAAATTATATATCAATTTAGAAAATAAAATTATACATTATTTTTTTAAAAAAAAAATTATATTATTTTTCAAAAACTAAAATTATATCACTTTTAAAAAATAAAATTATACATTATTTTTCAAAAAAAATAAAATTACATACAAGGAGGAATTTGAGGTTGGGTTAGAGCCCTCCGCCCATTTTTTGTACAATCCACTGCATAAATGCCGTAGGTTGGAGATGATCTGAGTCCAAAGACAAAATTTTATGAATTCTTGGTCGTTTGAAAATCCATCCAAATTATATCGATGAAGGCCATTTAAGACTGGTTCAATCGATCAGTTAGTTTATAAATATTTCTAAATAAAAATAAATCATCAATATAATAATTTATACTTCTTCCATCCAGCTAATTATGTAACTTTTTTATGGAACACAAAGACTAAGAAATAACGATATTTTAATATAAAATGAGATAATAAATAGTAAAAAATGAAGGTATTATAAAAAAAAATTATTAAAAATATGATGCGATAAGTAGAAAAATTAGTAGCAAATTGAATTTTTGGCTAAGATTCGAATAGTAACAATTTTAAATTGAAATAATTCTTTTATGTTTTGAATGTAAAATTAATTTTTAATATAACACATAATATAAAAAATAGGTGTTTGATTTTATATTTAAAAAAAAATAATAATAAAATAGATAAATAATACTCCATTCATCCCAATACAATAGTCTTGTTTACCATTTTTATTGGTCTCAAAATAATAGTTTTATTTTCATAAATAACAATATTACCATAAAATTATCCCTACTTTTTCATTTTTATTACATAATTGTCACTATTGTTTATACTAATACACTCACAATGGCAAAAAAGTATTTTATCCATACTTTTTACCAACTACCAATATAATACTCCTTTCGTCCCGTTGGAAGGGTCGCGTTTGCTTTTTGCACGTAAATTTTTGAATATTAGTATTATATTAGATTATAGTAAAAAAGACAAAAATACCCCTATTAGTATGGTGTAATATAAAAGTAAGGGTATTTGTGTAATATATTGTAAGTTGAAAGGGTATTTATTATGTTAAGTAGGTAGGACAATTACTAAATTAAAAAATGGTAACTTTGTTTTGGGACGGACAAAAATGGAAAATGGTAACCTTTCGATGGGACGGAGGGAATGAGGATCAATATTCCTTAAATATGGTGTCCAACCTAATTAAGATTATAGTTTTGTGATGGAGAGAATATAAATTTGATAAAAAAAAAACACATTATGAATAACATAATTATATCAGATAGATGAAGTTATATATATATATTTATGTTCGACTTGTTTAAATTTTTTTAAAAAAAACTTATAATAAATTTGAATAAATCGAAATACGCCGAGCTTGCGAACCGTTTATTTATTTTTTCACAGTCGGTCTTAACTACTCTCCTCGGACCTCGCCTCAATCCTCACCGGAAAACCACCCTCCATTTTCGCCGTCAAGTTGGCGACATACACCGGCGTGGCTCCTCCCACCGGCACCACCCTAAACCGCCGCAAGACGGCGGCAACCACCCCCTTCATTTGAATAAAAGCCATGTCCTTTCCGAGGCATATTCTCGGCCCGGCCTGAAACACCGGATAAGCGTAGGCGTCTCGGCCCACAAAAGCCCATTTATCGGCGGCGGCATCCCAATCCAGCCACCGCTCGGGCCGAAACTCGGCCCAATCCTTTCCCCACACCCTCTCGGCCCGGCCCATCGCGTAGGGTAGGTAGCCAACTCGCATCCCCTTCTTCACTACCGTTCCGTCCGGCAAAACGTCGTCGTTTAAAGCTTCTTTCGAGTCGAACGGCACCGGCGGATAAAGTCGCATTGCTTCGCAAAGGGACGCGTGCGTGTAAACCATTTCTTTCGCTTCGTCGTAAGCCGACGCTGCCGTTTTCGGCTTCCATTTTTTCAACTCTTTCATTATCTCGGCTTCGACTCCGGGATGGTTCGACAGTAGCCAGAAAAACCACGTCAGCGCGGCCGAGGTAGTGTCCCGTCCGGCAAGGATGAAACTTATTACAATGTCCGTCGCAAAGTTTTCGTCGGTATACCCCGAGACCAAGAATCTCGAGAGAAGGTCGTTGTCTTTGTCCATATTAGGCTGATCGAGCGACAGTCGTCGCTCGATTTTTTTCTTTTTCTTCCTAACCATATTCGTCGCGAATTCTCGGACTTTTCCGACGGCGACATTTAATTTCTTCTCGGACCCGACGTCAAGAGCTTTCTTGATCCTCCAAACGAGCGGAAACAATTCGAGGAACCTCTTGCCGGAGATGTTCACCGCCGCGTCGAAAGCGGCGGCGAACTCGACGCTGGGAAGCGCGGGCGACAGCGATCGGGGATCGTATCCGAACGAGATTTTGCAGATGTTATCGAAGGCGAATCGCTGAAGCACGTCTTGGAAATCGACGGCGGCGTTTCCGGCGGCGGCGGTCGCCATGATCGGAATCAGGCGGCCGGAGATTTGGGAATCGACGACGGTCTCGACGAATCGCCGGAGGGATTTCGTGCTGAATTCGCTGCTAGCGATGTGCCGTTGGAGCTTCCATTTCTCGGCGTTGGAGTTGAAAATTCCGTCGCCGAGAAGGTCGTATAACGTCGACCGGAATACTCGGCCTTTGTCGTAGTTGTCGAAATGGGTTTTGGTAATGTGGCGGACGACGGCGGGGTCGGCAGAGATGATTTTCCGGCCGGCGAAGTCGCGGTGGAAGGAGAGAGTGAGCGTCGGCGCGGCGAGGACGATTTCCGACGTCCATAGAGTGAATCTTCCTCTGTTTTTGAAGAGTAGGAAAAGGGAAGGTAAGAGTGGATAAGATGTTCGAAGATCAGAATCATTAGTTGTGAATGAAGCTTTTAATTTGGTTACGACAAAGAAGATTATTATTGGAAAGAACAAGGAAAAGATTAGTACTGAGGTTGTGAGGACACTCACCATTGTTATTATTATTATCTTTCTTTGGTGTTTGCTGAGAGAGAAAAAGACATGAAAGAATTTTGTCTCGCCAAGGATATATAATATACTTAATCCATCGCATATATCGAATTTTGATGACGTGAGAACCTGCACTAGTTATTCGACTTAAAATACTTTTTAATCATATGTTATATTGAATAGTAAATTATCTATTAATGAAAGATAAAATAGTTTTTTAACATTAATAAAAACTTAGTAGTATTATTTAATCTTGTCTATAAGAAAATAATTTATTATAATATTATCATTTTGGCTTTATTTTATTTCGAATTATAATAAGGCATATTAAATTCATAATTAAATTGGATAAAATAATATTATATGTGTTAATTGTTCAAAGTAAACATATTCTTATTATATTTACTTATTGAGTTGAAAATCAATAAAACACTATAGAGTTTATATATTATACTGATTTGATTTAGCCAACAATCAAAATTATAGAAGACATTATAATAACATACATCACACTATTTATGTAATACTAATACATAAAATAAGAAGACGAGATAATTGTCCATGTTATCACGGATTTCAATTATATATATATATATTTATAAAATACACTATAAATATGTATTAATGTAAATTAAAACTATGTAAATGTTTATTTAATTTTTATGTGTCGAGCGAGGCAGGTGTAACCTCCCCTAAGATCTTTGATATTTTAGTTATAGGCTATTTATGGAAGTTTGGCGGATGGGATAACACGATCTTTGTGATTTTGTGGGATTTTATGTCTTAATAAATGCTACTTTTCGACAATAATTAAGGGATAATCTGGTGGTGTGGTGATAGACTAGTGATCGTGAAGTCATCGGTTCAAAATGTGGAATTACTCAGTACACTACGGAATAAAATATTGTATTCCGTAATAAATAATCTAATAGTGTGAAATGGACTTATAACTGTGAAAGTCACAAATTCAAACTTATGGCACCTCAAGGTCTTGTCTAACATCGCTGGTGGGAAACATACATTACAATCCTCACTTTACCAACATAGGCCGAGGAGTTGTGCATTTGGAATGGTCTTCTTATATAGCTGGTTATTGAAAATGGGCAAAAATTGTCAAGCCTATTGCAAAGTGTCGATATCTTTCCACGATTTGGCGTCTTTCGTTAATCTTTCCATACTTGATTCATTATAAGATCTGTGTTTTCAAGCACAAGGAGCTACATACTAGATAAATGAAGCTTATCTCTCTTAGTCATATTCCTCTATATGTACATTAAAATCAAATAATTTGTATACATAAATATTTTACATATAACATAAATAAATAATGAATTCCTATTTAGATTGGGCTTTGGAGAATACCCCTTTTGTCCGGGCCCAGCTCTACCATGACCTTTGCAGTCAAGAGAAAATTAACGAAAAGTAATTACAATCGATTATATTTTATTTTGGTCTAAGAAAAATCATAAGGTATGAGCGCCCCAAATTCCTTGCGGCAAAGAGTTTGCTTATTATACTCAACCCAATGCAACTTACAATTCTTCAGAAGATATTGGTGCCCAATAGCCATGGTTAAAAGTGGAAGAATTTTTTCGCCAAACTCAAACTTGGACGGAACACTTCGAGACTTTTCTTGCAACATTCCTTATTTGTTGTCTTTTTATCTTTGGACAACATTTTCCCTCAATTTTTTGACAAAATGGATTATCGAATACTTCTACACTTTGCCGTTTTTGGATATGGGGACGGTAAAACATTTTGGAGCTATCTGTAAAATCTTTTGTAGTGACTATTTTGTTGGACTTACACCATAATCACAAAAGATTCAGTGTAACTTGTCTATTTTCTAACTTTGTAGGATGCTTTTCGATTCTTGTTAGAGCCGTATATTTATTTTATTGAATTCTTTTTTTAAAATATACAATATTTAATTATAAGCAAATAAACATACATTTTTTTAATGACTACAATACATATATATATATATATAAACAATACACCTTAGAATAGAATAAATGCTTGAACTAATAATGGCTAGACATTACAAGACAACAGCAAGCAAAGCAAAAGAGGCTTCCCAACAAGTCAAAAACTGTTCCAATTGCACCTTACAAATCCCAAACCAAAACGAAACCAGTTCGGACAACAACAACAACCTCACAACGGTTCATAAATATAAACATCATACAGTGCAAAGTATTACATAATTTATATGTATATATATAGATAAGTAGTGACAAATCCGCCAAACAGCTTAATAATCAAATTAACACCGAAACAAGAAGCATTCCACGCACAATCGAAGAAACCGTATTAAAGTTCCATGACAAGGCAGCCTTCTGAATGCCTGCACACAATACGGCCAACTGCTCTGTCCTGTCCGGTGTTTAGTCCGCTGTCCAGCTTTGCTCGACAATCTCCCTGACTCTGCGGTTGTACTCTCGCTTGTTCTCACTGAACATACGAGCGGCTTCTGAATTTGCCGGAGAATTGGGGTTGGGGTCGCACAACAGCGACTGCAAAATTAACACGACTAAGAACATTTGTGATGTTACTCTAGCAACATTTTCATGAATTGGAAATTTCATGTAGTTGAAGTAATGGGTACTTTATCATATGAAGAAAAGGAATTACGGTGAAAAAGAACATTCAATGTTCAATTTCTCATCTCCACAATGAGTTGAGAGCTCATAGAATTCTCGATTATTAATCGAGCAAAGTAAGATCAATTAGAAGCAATTAACAAACAGCTCAAATACGCTGAATAAGAAGGTAAAAAAGGTTCTATTTTACTAGTGTCTTAAACTTTATTTTCGCACTATTCATCAAAATTTCTCTTTGACACATATTACATTTAAAACCTAATTTCATTTAGAGTATCACGTCAAAAACTTGTTCTATGCTCAAAACATCACATTCCGACGCGTATTTACATAACATCAAACACCTATTTTCAACTTAACTTTTTCTTGTTTCCAAAACTTCAAGACACATCCAAATCATATCTAAACACAACCTTCGTTATTTAATGTTGAACTTTGTTTGTTTTCTTTTCTAATTGAGCTCAAGCTCGAGCCAAAAATTATTGTATCAAGTCGAGTTCAAACTAATTTTTAGAATCATTCATTTGAAATTCTCTAATTGTGAATGTGTGACACAAGTGATTGGAAGGCGGATGTAGTGACAAAACCTTCGGGTGCGTCTACGTCATGAGATTAGTTGATATTATTTAATCCCAGTGTAACATCCCGGACTTTTGGCTATCTTACTCAAAAAGGGGGTCAGGGGGCTATTCAGAAGAAGTAAACACGGCCTCTACGTGTAGAAATTGGAAAGGGAGTTGGCGCAAATTTATGCTCACAAGAAGCAAACACATACAGGAGTCGCAGAAAGGTGTGTGGTTTGAGAAAGGGAAAGGACAAATTGATATCCATAAGTACACACTCACTGAAAAGAACAGATAACCTACTCATTCTTTAAGTAGAGAATCACTGCTCTAATGAAGGATTTGAGTCGATAATTTTCACTAATCACTATTGAAATAAGCAAACTATAGAAGAAATTGGATACAAGCAGAAGAAACCAATATGTACGAAGGCCATATTTACTGCTGTTATGCAGTTGGAAAAAGGTAAATGGACTGTCAACTGGAACAGGAACATTCTACTTTCACTAGCATATAAAAAAGTATCAAATATTTCACTTTGTCGACATACGGAAACAGAAAAGTAAAAACTCTGTTTTGTTTGATGGATTTGGATTTAAGGGCGGGTTTTAAGTGTCTTTAAATGACACCCTCAAGTTCATTTGTCTAATTTGGTAAGACGGCGGGTTTCAAACCTACAAAGTCAAATGCTCTTTAATACCTTGTTATTTCAAATGCTTCGTAATACCAAAGAACAAATTTAAATTTCATAGCATTTCAAATCTGAAGTAAATCAAGGGTGTGTTTGTTTGGGGGTTTAGATTTTGAATTGGGATTTGAATAGTAAAAATTTTGAATTTGAATAGTTGTATGATGTGATATAAATAGGGGTTGATGTGATGTTTTGAATGTAAAATTGATTTTTAGTATAATATAAAAAATGAAAAATAAGTGTTTGATTTGATGTTTTTAGGGGGAAAAAATGGAATGAATAGTAGAAATTCAACAAAATCTTTCAAACAAACACACCCCAAATTCATTTAGGCCCCGTTTGTTTGAAGGAATTTAGTTAAAGGTATTTCAAATGACTCCATCGAATTCATTAGGGTCTTTTGGCAATGCGATGGATTTCAAATCTCCAAAGTTGGCCTTTAATATTTTAGATAATCTTTATACTGTGTCATTTCAAATATTTTCTACAACCAAACGATGGGTTTCTAAATTATGAAGTATTTTAAATCCTAAGTAATTCAAAGCCCTATTTGTTTGGAGGGATTTTGATCAATAAATGTTTCGTTTGGCAATGCGATGGACTTCAAATCTCTTAAGTTGGTTGTCCTAATATTTCAAATACTCTTATTGTCTCATTTCAAATATTTTTTGCAACCAAACGGTGTGTTTTAATAATGAAGTATTTCAAATCCCAAGTATGAATCCATTCATTTACATTCCAGCCTCAAGTCCAAATCCATCCAACCAAACGGGGCACAAATCCATTCATTTAAAATCCACCCACAAGTCCAAATCCATCCAACCAAACGGGGCACAAATCCATTCATTTAAAATCCACCCACAAGTCCAAATCCATCCAACCAAACAGGACCTAAGTACCATGAGTTACTCAAAACTAAGAGGGTACCTGGATCGATGTAAGTATCGCTGCAACATCATATATAGGACTCCATTGATTCTGAAGGATGTCCAAGCATATGCTTCCATCCGCATAAACTAATCAAAAGTTTAAGGTTACGAGTCAAAAACCTTAAATTGATGCTAAAGTAAATTCTTCGAGGCAGTGTCTTACTATTTGGATGGAACATTCGAGAAACAAATCGAACAGTTGGAGGTTTGTTCGGATAATCTTCTGTGAATTGAAGGGTCAGTTTGAACGTACCTGTCATACTCAAATAACAGCCACGGCATATGAGTTGCTGAGGATAGCATGAACAATGATCATCCGCACAAATTAAATACTTATTTTAGCGGAAGAGAAATGTATAAATCTCTCCTTTTGTCACTTCAATGGTTAATATTCATTAATGCACTTTCTGTAAAAATTGTCGCATGTAAAAAGAAGCATGTAATGCACATGTCACTCTGTATTCAAGAAGTACGCCCGTGCATCCAACCCAACTGCAGTTGGTGACTTTCAGAAATTGAAAACCATGACGCAAAGTGATAGAAACTACGATAAATGCCGTCATTTCAAATCCATCAGAGTGACATTACTAAAAATAGACACCGTCTGGTTTATCGACACTTGTAAACAATACACAGGAGATAAAAGAAATCGATCTGCTCTTTAAATATAAAATAAAGCAAGTGAAAAAGACAGCCATTCGATATAAGTTTAGAAGTCATCTTTCCAAAAAACATTATATATAGATTTTTAAATCTCAATAATCAATATTAAGGTTTTTCACACTATGAATACGATGAACAGCTGTCTGGAAAGAATCATCGCTTTCATGTCTTATCTTCGACAAAACTATTGTACCGAAAATAAAGAAATAATCCCAAAGAGAACATCAGACATTGCCCAATTGTGTGCAACATTAATGACCAACAAAAGTAACAATCTACAACTAATAAACAACGAACTCAAGGAATTCCTATTCCCTCAAGTAAGCAGTAACATGTTCACTCAAAGATAGTCGAATTACCAGCAAACTCAAGTGTTCAGAAAACAAACCATCATCGAGCACAAATTAATCATTGCAAATCGTAACAAAAACTGTGTTCACTGCCCCAAAGAATTACTCAACAATTAATCATGGACAAGCAACTGTGATTTTCGATACGTTCATATAAAAGCATCGAAAAAGAGCACCAAAGAAATGCGAAGTGGTTGGCATTCATAAGCCCAAGAATGACTCACCTCCGTCCCACGGCGTATCATCAGGACTGCAATCCACACAAGAAAAAGAAACCACGAAACGGCTTATCCAACTATACTCAAAACCTTTGTATAATTTGATACAAACGAAAACACTAATATAGTATAGACGAGTCGATTTTTTCAAATAGAGAACAATGATCTCACCCGAATATCACTGCATTCCAGAGCATAATATTATTATCTTGTGGCGCCCCGCTAATTCCGGCCGGCGGATCCTGCTGCAACCTCTTGAAGTCCCTCATCAGTCTCTTCCTAGCCGGCGTAGACATCTCCAACAACTGCAAATCACAAGAACAAATTCACACAAATAGCAAACAAAATTCAGATTATCACTAGTTTTTTTGAAAAAAGGCAAAACTTAAAAACCTAATCCTTATCTCCCTCTGCCTATCATCCGATCTACAATCCGAAACCCTATCAATCGAAACCCATACCCAAATTAGGTCATCTAGGGCACCATATGTTTCCTCACAATTACAAATTCCCAAAATGAATCATCCAGATCAATATCCCCATTCAATTAACAGCAAAGAAACCCTAAAATAAACTCCACAGCTAAAAGAAGAGAAAAAGAGAAGGAATTTTAGGGTTTCGCTCCAACCACAATCACACGATTCAGATATATTTATCGGATCGGGAGATCTACTCTCCGATCAATTCCATTAGATCACAGAAACCAAAAGATATAGATACTATGATGCCAATACAGATTAGCTAGTTAATTTACCTGTGAGGGAACTTTTCCTGCAAAGTCTTGGGCAGCTTCGAAGCGAAGAGAGGGGAGAGGGGAAGAGGAAAAATTGAATCTTTATTGCATTTCATCCATTTCTTTTTTGAATTTATAATTAAAAATAATATTAATGTGATGCATGAATGATTGATTGCTGGGGTGGGGCGGGGTGGGGTCGGAATCATTAAAGGGTGGGCGTAAGATATCACCACATTCTTACCGGCGCCATTGCTATTTATGGTTCGTCTCCATCCAGCATTGATGCACCTTTAAATGCACATAGCAAATTTATGACCTGAGATTTGAATCATTTTGAGTGTTTTTGGTACGAAGTAGAAACTGCGGTTGGTAATATGTAATTCAATTTACAATTACACTAACATTTGGAACTATAAAATGAAAAAAATATATATATATTCAATAAAAAGATAAAAGTATATATTTAATTTGTTAAAAAGTTCTATCTATAATTAATGTAAATTAATTTATTAAAATTAAAAATAAAAGAACTATATATAGAGAGATTATATGCGACTATTATGTTGAATGCTGATTTTTTTTTTTTTTTAAAATAGTAAAATATTATATATATTAGAAGTCGTGTCACTAAATAATTAGTTGGACAAACAAACTCAATTAAAGAAAAAAATTGTTAAAACACTTTTTGGGTCGACTAACTATTATTTATGCAATTACCGATATTTTTCCGGTCGAGTCACAAATTCGATTAGCATGGTTTGCAAGCTATTACTAATCTATATTCGAAAGAATAATTGCTGTAAAAATATACATTAAAAACATAATGAAGTATAAAGCATATAAATCAAGAACTATTACAAGTAGAATTTTCATTTTCATCTTGGACAACATTTAGGGCTTCGACAACTTGGGAGTATGCATCTAATGCTGCTCTAGTTTTGGCTATAGTCCTTTTAGCTTTGTAAGTCGCCCTCCCGGTAAATCGTCCATTTACGACGAACTCAACTGTTCCATTGTCTTTCCACGTGTCTTTTATCACCAATGAGAGTTTGTTTTTCTGACAAATTTCGTGTAATTTTGTCATTGGATGCGTTGGAAGATTTTCTGGAGTGATAATTGGTTCGAGCAAGCGTATTGTAATCTGCTTTGTGAAAACAAAAAATATATATTTGCTGAAATGAAAAGGATATATAATTTACAAATGGTAAAATTACGATGGAATGTAATAGATTAACGTACCTCAGATGTTGTGTCCATAGAAGAGTTGGAGTCGATAAATATGGCTCCAATCAAAGCCTCGACAATGTCCGCAAGTACCTTTGGGGCATCGATCAATCCACACGAATGCAACGGGTACTTCTTCATTTCATTCCTAAAGCCTTCGATCTATAGCCAATATACATGCTCTGATTATTTATGTTTTCAACTTTGGTTTGACGTTACTGATAAAAACTTATCTCTCTATTTATACAAATATATATATATACCTACTCCGTCTCATAAAAAGGATATCATTTTTCATTTTTGTTTGTCCCAAAACAATAATATCATTTTCTAATTTAGTAATTCTACTATTTAGCTAACACAATGAATATCCTTACAACTTTCAATATATAACACAAATATCAATACTTTTATATCAAACAATCTAATAAGGGCATTTTTATCATTTTCACTATAATCAATATAATACTAATATTAAAAAAATCTACGTCCAAAAAGTAAATAGTGTTGATTTTATAAGACAAATGTAGTATTTATTATATATTCAATATTTTACTATTTTCAAAATACGTCAATAAGAGATTAATGACCTGTATTGGCAACAAAGGAATGCGATGACGAAGGAATTTATGGAGCTCATTCTTCAACGCGGCACGCGCAAGTTTCTCGGTGTCCACATTAATAGCTCGGATCTTTGTTAACTCGCCGGGACTTAAGCGCGTGTATAAAGAATATTGCCAAGTGGCTAATATGAAACTCAATGCGGCGTCACCAAGATACGCCAAACGCTCCAACGAGGAACAACCCTCCTCGAACGAGTGATGGGTGAAAACTTGTCTCAAAAGAATTGGATCCCGGAATTTGTACCCGATCATCTCTTCGACTCGATCTTCCAACGACATTTGTTGCTCTTGATGATCTTGTTCTAAAAGAAGGGCTTGCAATGAATACATCGTATCTTCTTCTTCTTCTTCCATGGTAGGTATTTGAATTTCCTTTGATTTTTTTTGCATTTTTCCTTAAAGTATGCAAATGTGTCTGTATATATATATATATATATGTATATATATTCTTGACCAAATGTATTACATGAGTTTGACAAACTAAACGAGCATGAAGAGTGACAACCTTTGTAATGAAATATTAATAAAATGGAATTTTGGTGAATTGGAGAGCAAGTAAGTTGCTAATACTAATAGATAAATTGTGTGTTGATTTATTCAATGCATGCCAATTCCCAATGGACTTTGCCTCCTTTAATTTACTTGATTACGTGCTTAAAGGTCTATTGTGTTGTCGATATAAACTTTTAGATCGACGTATTTTTTATATTAGATATAAAAAAATTATATCGATAATATAAAAAAATAATATTTTATTTTAAATTAAAATAAAGGATATATATACTATTATATAGTTAATACGTGACACTCCGGTCCGCAAAAAATACGAAGTGTACAATAACTATATGACACTCCGGCCCACAAGCCACGCAATGTCGGACATGTCGTGGTTGTAAACTCGCTTCACAAGTTAACACAAGTCCTTCCAGCACCTCAGACTCGCGCGCACCGGGAGACTTTCGAGGAAGTCACCAATCAGTACGACTCTCGAAAAAAAATGTACACATTTTTTACATTAGTAATCTATTCAGGGTGTGTTTGTTTGTAGGTTTGGATTTTGAGTTGGGATTTGAATAGTAAAAATTTTGAATTTGAATAGTTGTATGATGTGATATAAATAGGTGTTGATGTGATGTTTTGAATGTAAAATTGATTTTTAGTATAATATAAAAAATGAAAAATAGGCGTTTGATTTGATATTTTTTTGGAGAAAAAAATTGGATGAATAGTGAAAAAAAAAATCCAATCCCTCAAACAAACACACCCTCAATTTATTTAATTATAGATGGTTTGACACCGGCTCATCCATGAAAGTTGACCTAGCACCGATCCAACTCAGAGGATTAGATCCTCTATTTCAATTTTTTACATAGTATAATTTTTATGATTATTAATAAATAATTTTTAGGATTATTAATAAAGTATTTTTTTCTTATTAATCATACAAAAATAGTATTTAAATTAAACATTAAAGAAAAATAAAAATATATTGTCACCATGTACTTGTGATCCAACAGTCCATTTGTTTTATACAATATTTGTTTAGTATTTTAATTTGATGTGGTTTTTTAATGTGAATTATGAAAAATTATGTCCCTTATATAAAAATATATATATATATATTGTGTTAAATTATTTAATTTTTAAAAAATATAATAGAATATATATTATAAACATTATAAACTACGTCGGTCCAACTCTAGTATACCTTTCGGATTTTCTTTTTTAATAAATTAAGAAATATTAGTATATTTGTAATTTTGATAAAAAAAAAAAAAAAATATTTTAATATGTTGTTATTATAATTAAAAAAAAATGATATTTTTTTAGTAAAATAAAAAAAATTAATAATAAAAAATATTTTTAGTTGAGAATGTGTGTATTTTTTGTAAAATATTAATTGAAAATTTTGTGAAATAATTTATTGGTTGAACAAACCAACTATTAAGATAATTTTCATTTTAAAAAGTATAATTTAAATTGAATTGTATTAAGATATATTATAGAATTTTGTAATAGATAAAAAAATAATATTATTTTATTGTTTACTAAATTTTTTGTCATTTATACTAATTGTATTTTGTAATTTATGTAATGTATAATTGGTTTTATTATAATAAAAAATAAATAGTTTTGAATAAGACAATGAAATGATAAAAATTATATTTTTAGTTGATACAGAAGAAATACACATAAAGAGTGTGTTAGAGTAATAATTAAAGGTAGTATGAAAAAGTAGGAATAATTTTGTTATAAAGTGGGGACCACGGCTACTAAATAAGGAAACAAGACAATTGTTTTGAGACGAAAATGAAGAAACAAGACAAATCTTTTGAGACGGAAAGAGTATATAATATTGATAAACAGCCCCAAAATAAATTATAAAATAAGTAAATAGAGCATAAATCTTGCCTTAGCTTTTTATTTATTTTTGTTTTATGTGGCAATCTGACGCCAATATTTTTCGATAGCGAGTAAAGCGCCGGCCGAAGCTTTGCCTTAACATTTTATCAACTATCATCACTGACTTATGAGTTATGACTGTCTTTTGCTAAATTTAGAAGCCATTTATAAAAATAAGTAAATATGTAAAATAAAATAAAATAAGATGATTACACATACCATGTCACTTTTATTTTTGGAAAAATTATTATACATTTTAATCTTATTTTAAATTTTTTATTTTTTTAAAAAAAATTAATTAAACTAATTAATTATCTTAATTTTAATTTATAATTATTTATATTATCGGATAATTATTTTTACTAATACATTCTTAATTATCTATTAATTATACTCCTCCTAAAATACTGTGTGTACAGTGTAGTGTAGCAGACACGGTACGTGGGACGGAGTGAGTATTATTTAATTTATCTAATCTCTTTATCCCTTATAATAATTCCACCCACTTTCAATTTTCATGTAAAATATGGAGTATCAACTAACCATTATGTCATTTCAATAAAACCAAAAAATTTAAGTAATAAAAAACACTAATAAACAAAACCCTATAACTCAATTTATATATTTTTCTATTACTATCTTTAAAAAATGTTAATTTTTTTTTAAAAAGTTCTGGAATTTTTGCAAAATTTTGAGAATTGTAAACTTAAATATTTTTTTAAAAAAAGGGATATTGATATTTTTTATTAAAAAAAGTTACTATTGTTGAATAGCATTTAATTTAAAAAAAATATTACCCCATCCGTTCCAATTTAATGGAGCCATTTGGAGTTTTGCGGTAGATTAAAAAAATTAGTATTTTTATTAGTTAGTAAAAGTGTATAACAATTTTTGCTCTTTGGTTTTATGTATAAAATAAATAATTGTATGTGTAATAGTATATTTTTAATTTAGGTAAAAATTAAAGATATTTTGGTATTAATATGATTATTTTTTCTAAAATAAGAAAAATTAATTTTGAAATAGGACAAATAAAAATAGTAAAAATAAAATAATTTGAATTGGAACGGAAGAAATATTATAATTACTATTATAATTTTTAAGTCTTCATAGGCATAGGGATGTTCTTTTGTAGTATTTTATTTGCTTTGGATTTTGTTGTTTTCTTAGTAAAATAATTGTTAGATATTGTAATCCTTTTGTCTCACATAATTTATCTCTATTTTTTATTTTTGTCTGTCCGACATAATTTGTCCATTCTTTTTTTGAAATATAATTATACACTTTAATCTCATTTTAAATTTTATAATTTTTTACTCTTAATTAAATTATTTATTTATCTTAATCTTAATCCACAATTATTTTTATTATACGATAATTATTTTTACTAATACACTTCTTAATTATTTACTAATCATATATTACCTAAATTCCCGAATCTACAGTAATAGACCCATAATACATGGGACGGATGGAGTATATATTATGAAAAATATAACTCCTCCACTCGGTACATATCTATCTATTTTTTTTTTTTTTTTTTGTATAATTTTAAAATATTAATATTTTATGTCTATGTGGTACAAGAAGTAGGTAAATTGACTATTGCATCTTTAAAAAGTTAGTAATTTTAGTCGTACTAAAAATTTATGTGAGGATCATAATTAATAAAAATAAATAAATAGATTGATTTTATACCAATTACATTGATAAAAATGAATAAGTTAATTCCCCAAAACGAATAGATTGATTTTATACCGATTATAATGATAAAATAAATAAATTAGGATGATTTTGTTTTGTAAAATAGTATGAAAGAATTTTTATTTATTTTTTTATGTAAAGTATAAAAATTTATGTAAATAATATAAAAATAACGAATGTTTTTAATATATTAATTTTTTTAAATAAATATATATAATTTTATTTTTACGAAAAGAACAAACCATTCATTCCTGACAAATGGAGTATATGTTTTTATTGGAAAAAAAATACATAACAATGGTGTTCATATCTAACCTAAGAACACTAAGGTTGTGTTTGTTTCCGAAATTTTCTTCAAACTTTACTGTTTATTCAATTTTTCTCCAAAACATCAAATAAAATACATATTTTTCATTACATCATGTCTAACACCTATTTATATCACATCATACAACTATTTACATTCAAAAATTTTACTATTCAAATCTCAATCCAAAAATCGAATCTCCCAATCAAAGACACCTGAGTATAATTAACGTATGCATAATTCAGACATCTTCACACTTTCATTACAGCTTCGTCTTGAACACAAATCTAACAACGTTGAAGCTGAATATACCTCGGATCAAAGTTTATAGTCGAGACCAGATCCGTACGTCCACGCCTCGAGCTTCCGCCTCCATTCGTATCGCTCCTTCGCCGGCAATGTCTTCAACAATGGCCTGCAAAATGTATAGTGAGAGTGATTGATGATAAGCAGAGCCGAATACATTATGACATCATAGTTGGATACCCGTTACCTAATAAGGGGATCGATGTAAGAAGAAAGAAACGTGTAAATCCCGAGCATCACAAAATGTCCCGACCATTCGATCAAAACGGGGAGGCCAACCTGCATTTATTCCACGTCAAACGAGTTTAAATTTACCAAATGACGAGAAATAAAAGCGCACAAGAATGAGCTGTGCGGACTATTACCTTCTTGAATATCGACGGGATGATTAGAGGTTGCGATATCATCACTAGTCCTAATGTCTTCACAAGAGGACCAAATTGTATCACATCCTGCAAAGTAAACACCTCGTCGTCTTGCTATTTATTAATTCTCGGCAAATATATATATATGAGAAGAGTTACGATGCTAATTTGGGAAAATCTTATCTGAAAGCACACGTAAAATAAAAAAACAGAATATGCACTTTATTATACACAACATATTTTGTTTGGTTATAATTACAGCGTATGCTGTATAAGATTAACCGCTAAATTTAAAATTCAGTACCGTAGGATTAAATCTACATTTTTTCCTACTTTCCGAAAGGCGAAATGAAGTCATAGAATATAGACGAACCTGAAGAAAAGGTCTGAGAATCGGATCGCCGAGTTTCTGAAACATAGAAACGAGTTCGAGAAGTACATAAGAAACACAAGAAAAAATTATCGAAGTTGTAACAATGTACATCGAGTTTTAACTACCTCCATGCTCTTAAAATTGGCGTATAGAAGTTCGTTTACGAATGTAGGCGAAACGCCGGACTGGCTTTTGCCTGACATTGCTCGTTGGAACAGCCACGAAGCGCTTAAGTTGGGCTGCAGAAAGATTCGATCAACGCCGAAAACTTAAGAAGCGCAAGAACTCGAAGAAAATTAAAGGCGAGCATTTACTAACCATGTACGGGTTCAACAACGATAAGCTCTGCGCATCCAGAAAATCATTATCGAATGCTTCATGAATGCCTTAAACCTCATCGAAAGGGAAGCGAATCAGTTCCATGGATAAGTAATTAATTCCGATTCGATTTTCACCATAAGTAACGAGGAAGATATAATGTAGAGTTTGCACCGGATGACAATCTCCCGAGGTGTCTCGTCAGGCTCCCAAAACCACCGAAGGAAACCGGCGACTGGATGCTGCTGGCATCACCAAACTACGACAGTCGTAACAAGAGGAATTTGTAAGACGAGCATTGTAAAAATATCGATGGAAGAAAGATGTATGATAAGAAACCTGTAGGACGCGATCAAAGGCTGCCGGCAACGGACTACCAGGCGAGGCCGAAGCAGCAGAGACCAGAAATCAGTAACAAAACTAAGACAAACAATCATACGATCGAACCAGATATCAAAAACAGATGTTAGTTATGCAGATTTTACCCATCGCGGTAAGTAGGAAAGATGCCGAATATTACTCTCAGGACCTCCAGATCTTCAAGCGACACGCCCTGTGAAGTTGCATTCGATGAGATGAAAAAACATTACGCGTAAAATGTAAATGGCTGTGAATATCTCCGCGAAAATACAGTACCTGATACTTCGGCATTAACTCCCAATAGTCTTCGAGTAGCTCTTCTAAAAGGGGACACCCGGGTTCGGGGTAAAGATAGGTAAACATATATGTAGTTCGCTCGAGAGGACCCGAGCCAGCCGGGAAGGCCTGAATATGCACATGTTTAATATCAATATACATTGGACAAAATGGCGAAAAACGAAACAATTGACGAATGGAAGTCATTACACCTCCCAGAAATACTGTGCTTCCGATCGTCCGACCTTCTTCACCGAAGCGCTACTATAAATTACGTCACTAGTCGAATTCTGTTCAAAGCCCCGGCAACACGATCCAACGACGAGGCAAACACCATCTGGTTTCTTTCCATTTCTAATCTGTCGAATTTCGGATGCATCAGAAGAAGTTACGAAGAAAAAACAGGCAGAAACAAAGCAAAAGGTTATAAGATTATAAGAGTAGAAAACTTTTTCTTATTCTACGTGTTGTATATACACATATACGCTGATTTGTGTTGATTATATAGCTAAGTAAGAGTCGAGTTAATTGATATTCGAAAGCTTACTCAACTTGTCTTACAATGGGAGAAAAGTTTCCCATTGCATCGATGATGAGACTCGCCGACAAAATCTTCCCGTCCGCTAGTTCTAATACCTGCGAGAAACGAACACTATAAGGAAAATAAAGGCCTACAATACACTAGATATTAAACACTATAGGGAGGTGCCGAAACAAATTCTTACAGCTGCATCCTCAAAAATTGTTACATGTGATACGATGCAACCCTCGAAGATAATGCCGCCAATACAAGTGAAACGATCTCTCATTATTTCGATAAGTTTCGCAGGCCTAAAATGACAAAAAAAAAAAGCCGACTGAGGAGTCGAATAAACAAGTGATCTATGGCATAGGATATCTGAATATACGGTAAACTTACGAAATTCCAAGATTGAGAATGTCGTTCACCCAAATGTCACCCTTCCCTTCAAATCCACATCTATTCTACACCGTTTATACGAAACATTTTGGATTATAGAAGATAAAACTTTTAAGTGGTAGTGGTTCCAAGTTGAAGTATCGAATCAAATGCATACTTTCTTGAAGACTCGACTAAGAGATTCACTTCGAGCACATGAACAATTGCAGAATGAAATATCACTAAAAAGATAGCATTCAATGCAAGAAAAAAATTTCGTACAGGATTGAAGCTGTTTGCTGTAATGTGATAGATATCGTCTTCTGTAAGAACTCCAACGTCGACTAGCTCCAAAAGCTCTTTCCTCGATATGTTCCACTCCTGTTCTCTCTGTACAACAACAAAAGAACAAACAATCATTAAACCAGATGCAAATCACGATGATCCTCTGTTTAATTACCGATGCAGAAAGACAGCAATAAATTACAATACCCCTCTCAAGATACTCTTCTCTACAATCCCAACTCGCAGCCCTTTTGAACTCAATGCTGTAGCAATGAAAATTCCTAATGTTCCGCCGCATACTACAACATCAAACATGTCTATGCACTTTTCTGCTTGCTCAGATTCGCGAAATAAACCCGAAACATTGGACACCATTTTTTTTGGTTCCTGGACAGCTGAACTATCAATTTCAAGTCAGTAACGAACAATCAATCAAATCTCACATTCAGGTTAATCCAAGTTATCCAACTATGCACTCAAGAATTCTGATCAACTATTGAGTTTAAAACCGAAATCATGCGCCAAATTCATAAATATTTGTCCTTACAAATCCATTTTGCCTGCGAGGCTCTACCTAGCACCGGCAACACTACCGTGCCAAATTCAGGTATAATATCATTTTCATGAACTTTGCACTTTCTAAAACTATATTATAGCAACAATATATCTCTCCTTCCAAAATTTGGCAGCTGTCGTCACGCTGCAAAATTTAATGCTAGTTTCCTACGTCGCAGAATATAAAACAAAATCCAATAATGAGTAGGGTCGTCTTCTCAGAAAATTGCTTAGAATCGATGCATTGGCTAATGATATTCTAAGACACTGTTTACATATACACTTTCGAAACTTTTAGACACTATTAATCTTCATTAATTTTTCTTAAAACCATCATTTCAAATACTTTTTTTTTCTTTATTCACAAAAATCATATCAAATACTAACTTGTTACTTATTCCGAAATGTTTTCAACCTCACAAATTTCCATCTAAACGGAGCTTATGTATCGAAAAGGGGGTTTTGATTAAACTAACTACTAACAAAATATATATCAAGTAAAGTTAACTAGGAAAATTGGTCTCCCGATCACATTAAAATCAGTAAAACCTACATTGTTACCAGACAGAAATTCACACCCGAATCATTACAAATGGTGGACCAGAGGCTATCCAGTCGTTTCAAAGCATTGTAAGAGTAGGCACCGCCGGCGCCACCTGCTTCCTCAGCTGCAGGTATACTCTCCATTATCCTCTGAATAATCATCGAAGTAATTTCAAAAAATTAATTTCAGTCCCATCGGCACTTACAAATTATTTATAGAGAAAGGGAATAAACAGAAGTTAACTCATACTTGAGTTTTTGAAGGACCAGTAGCTTGCGGTAGCAGACAGAATTTCCTCGCGGATGTGATCATCGGGAGCGAAGAGATGAATACGCCATTGGAAGAGAATCCTCCCAATTTCGCCATTGGACCCTAACTAATTCCGACGAACTGAGCACTCAGAGTAAGAAATTCGTCGGCATTTTATGGGTTTGAAGCGCGAAACCATCAACATTGAATCGTCGAAGTCGTCGGGAAAATGGGGATAGGTTTTAAAGCGTGAAATTAGACACGACAGCCTCATCCATATTCGAAGTAGTTCATTTTCTGTTTATGTTTCGTAAAAACGAATTTGTGATGAATACACGCTAGCTACGCTCTCGTATTTTTATACTTAGGTATGAAATATTATTTGTATTAAATCACGGCTAAATTATATAATATTCTATTATATTTTAGTAAAAATTGCATAAAATATTTTATATTTTATTTATTGTTAAAATTATTTGTGTTAGTGAAAAGTTTGCATGATATTTTAAATATTTTTTTTAATAAAATAAATAATTGATTAATCATTTATTTTTATAATTTTTATAAAAATCAAATAATGATATGTTTTAAAAACTATAAAATAAGAATTTATCGATTAGTTATTTATTTATTTTATGAAAAAAAGACTATTTAAGATATTTTGGACTTTTTATTTATATAAAAGTCGCTTAATTTAAGTATTTATTTAGAATAAAATATTAATTTTACACAACTTTGGTGTTTCGTATAAATTTTACATTAACGGTGAGTTTCATTCAATAAATAAAATACAGATATTTTATGTATTTTTGCTAAAACATAATGAACTGTTATATAATTTACCTTTATATTATTGAGAATGTGTTCTTTTTCCTAACAATTACACACATGTTTCTCAAAAAACAAATTTATTAAAATACATTTATTATTTATTATTTTTATATTATGTATAAAATTTTATTAATAAAAAATATCTTTTAAATTATTTTACAAAAACACATTCATTTTTACACTTCGTCCACATTAGATGTTTGGGTCACTGTAGATATAAAAATTTAAAATAAATATAATTAGTAGATAATTAAGAATGTATTAGTGAAAATAATTATCATTAAGGTTAAAATAAAAGTATTTTTATAATTTTTTTTAAAATTTTTTACTGTGTTTTGATATTATAATTAGCATTCAAAGATAAACATACAAAAAATAAATGACACACTTAGAGTCGGACGAATGTAGTATTTTATAAAATTTACAATAATTTATTTATTTCTATATATTTTTAGTATTATCTATCTATATATATTTTTATTGTCTAATACTTCCTCCGTCCCCCGGATATTTTGTTCGATTTACTGTAGACACAAGAATTTATGAGGGGTATAATTAATAAATAATTAAAAATATATTAGTGAAAATAATTATCATAAAATAAAAATAATTAAGATTAAAATAAATGATTAGTATAATTAAAATTAAAAAAATTATAAATTAAAATTTTTAAAATAAGATTAAAATATATAATTCATTTTCAAGTGAGACGAACGGAAATAAAAATGTAGACATGAGAAGTGGGACGAAGGGAGTAATATATTTCTATATTAATATTTTAACTTTTAAATATTAATTTATATAAATTTTAATAATTTGAATTATATAATCCATTAATTTAAAAATTGAATATAAAAAAAGTAGATAACAAAAAATTAATTTTTAAACATAACAGATAAAACGTGATATTTGATTAATAAATTTTAAATAATATTTAATTATTTTTTAATATTTTTTTTGTTGAAAGTAACATAGTAAAAATTGAAAAACAATAGTAAAAATAACAAAGAATGTGTAACAAATGCTCTAAATAGGATGAATAGAGTATATAACTTGTTTAGAGAAAAAAAAAATAGAAAACAAAAAAGATGAAACAAAACATAAAAATATGAGGTAGAATAGAGCTTACCGTCACGGGCTGACATTCTTGCTCCTGGCTTTCGTCCATAGTCCGTCCCATATGTGCAAACCCCTATCTTGTACGGCCGACTAATGACCCATATCTTGGTACAGGTACGTGTTCCGCAAAATTCTCTTATACTGTATAGTATATCCCGAGCGTGTTGCACACAGGGGACGGCTAGTCTGGGCCTCAACACGGACGTGGCGTAGGCGCCGGACATGTCATCTTCCGGACACGTTACATCACAGTACTTAATAATCAACCCAACAAATCAAAATTCACAACCATAACAAATGTGTAGAACAACAAAAGGTTTGTTCGATTTCAGTTTTGTAATCAAAATCAACATTATTCATCCGTGGTTCATTAATTCTCCGATATCTGACCTGACTCTTCGATCACAACGGGGACTGAAGTGGATCCCGCCGAGGAACCAACTCGCTCCATCTCCTTCACTACGCTATAGCCGTCGACAACTTTCCCAAACACCACATGTTTGCCGTCGAGCCAAGGGGTCTTCACCGTAGTTATGAAAAATTGTGATCCATTCGTGCTTGGTCCCGAATTCGCCATGGATAGGAGGCCGGGTTCCGTATGTTTCAGGTTGAAATTCTCGTCGTCAAATTTCGCCCCGTATATTGATTCTCCTCCGGTGCCGTTGCCTCTAGTGAAGTCGCCGCCTTGACACATGAAACTAGGAATTATACGATGAAATTTCGACCCCTTGTAATGTAGGGGCTTCCCGGAAGCTCCGATCCCTTTTTCTCCTGTGCATAGGGCGCGGAAGTTCTCGGCTGTTTTTGGTGTGGTGTCAGCAAACAGCTCCATTACTACACGACCGGCTTTTGTCTTTCCAATCAATATATCGAAGAAAACCTTGGGATTCTTCATTTTTGAGGAATTTCTGGACAGCAGGGAAGCAGAATAAATCAAGATTTCCCCAAAACAGCAATAATTCGAGCAAATTCAGAGTCAAAAATTGGAGCAGATCATCACATGAAGAACAATGAAGATTAGTTATCAAAGAAGCAATTTTAGAATACAAAAGGTTAATGAAATACTAATAAGAATCAGAAATAATTCTCAATGCTACAAAAGAACATATGAGAGAAATATAAAGATGTTAGTATTTAGTCGCAAAACATCACAACTAACTACTATTTAAACCAAAACTTAAAACTATTATGCAAAATTAACGGAGCCAAAACATGACATCTAACTACTATTTAAACCAAAATCCAACACTAAAATACGAAACCAAATAAACCACACACCAAGTGGACAGAGCCAAAAGTTCTTCAATTATCCAAGATCATCTAACATCGCTGAGTTCTCCAACACTAAAAGATTTTATTTGGTTTGAGATACCATTTTCATTTTTCAATACAAATTTTACATACAACTCCCAATAAAAACACATTATATATATTCTCACAAAACATCACAACAAACAAATTTCACACAAACTCAAATTATTTACACAACACCAAACCAAACAAACCCAAATAAACATAGTTTTTCATTTAGGGTGTGTTTGTTTGAGGGATTCTTCTCCAAATATACTATTCATCCCATTTTTTCCCCCAAAAAACATCAAATCAAACACATATTTTTTATTTTTTATATTATACTAAATATCAATTTTACATTCAAAACATTACGGGTGTGTTCGTTTGGGGTTTTGGATTTTAAGTTGGGATTTAAATAGTAAAAAATTTGAATTTGAATAGTTGTATGATGTGATATAAATAGGTGTTGATTTGATGTTTTGAATGTAAAATTGATTTTTAGTATAATATAAAAAATAAAAAATAGGTATTTGATTTGATGTTTTTAGGGGGAAAAATTTTGGATGAATAGTAAGATTTCGTCAAAATCCTACAAACGAACACACCCTACATCAACACCTATCTATATCACATCATACAACTATTCAAATTCAAAATTTTTACTATTCAAATCTCAACTTAAAATCCAAAGCCCCAGACAAACACATCCTTAGTATTTTTTGGTGCCACAATTCCCCATAAATATTATTAAAAATATACAATATACAGACATTAACACAATGTATTTAATATACATATTTTATCTACCCAAACACCAACATTTCAAAACAAAATACTCACTCCGTCCCAAAAAAATAATCCCATTTTGCCATTTTCATCCGCCCAAAACAATAATCTCATTTCCATTTTTTATAACCTAACTTTCCAATTTTTTACAAAACTATCCCAACTTTTTCATAATAATTACATAAAGTAAAAACATTTTAGTTTTTTAAAAACACTTTTACATCCACTATCAATATAATATTATTATTCCTTAATTCTCGTGCCCATCCCAAATGTCTCTATTGTTTTTGGATGGCAGGAGTATTATATCTTATATTACCAACACACTTTTTTTCCGTGCCCAACATAAACTAACATCCATCCAAAAACAAAAGGGAACAAACTCATTGTTTGATTAGGATTTGAGAATAATACAAATTTGATTGTAAAATACTAGTGTAGTACATATTTTTATACGATATACATAGATTTTAAGTAGTAGTTTAAGTGAAAGACAATTTTTTCTTTTTAATCTAATGTTTCATAGTTCCAAATTCTATAATTTTTATTTGCTCACAAGAAAAATATATTACTCCCTCCGTCCCATGGAAAGTTTGTCATTTTCCATTTTCGTCTGTCCCAAAACAATGTTACCATTTCCTAATTTAGTAATTGTACTACCTGCCTAACATAATAAATACCCTTCAAACTTACACTATATTACACAAATTTCGTTACTTTTATATTAAACAATACTAATGAGGTATTTTCGGCTTTTTCACTCCAATCCATTATAATACTAATATTCAAAAAAATCTATGCGCAAGAAATAAACGGCAATGGGAAGGAGGGAGTATTAATTTTAGTTACAATATATCGATTAAATCACTATCAAAAAACAACAAGAACTAAAATAAAACCTATAGACCACAAACAAGAACATAGAAAGCACTCATAGAATCCAGAAACAATAAACTTGAACTTTTATCCAATCGAACTTAGAAACACTTCCCATACGAACCCTCCCTCAGCTAAATCAAAGCTACGACAGAGCGCCTGCGCGCGCATATGTACATCCTTTATCGAATCCTCTTGCCAAATCAAGAGGGAAAATCAATAGCGGATGAAATATATTTTGATATTGCACAATTTTTGAGCTCCACGGACATGGACATTCAATTAATCTAAACCCATGAAGCCTTCGATTTGTGCTGCTTAACTTCTCACAATTGGACACGGCACGATTTCAAATACAAGTAAAGCAGCATTCAGCTGCCAAGATCAATAAATAAATTAATAAATAAATAAATTCTGATGAGGAGCTTACCGAGCGACTCCCTGAGGAATGGAAATGTTAACGAAGATCGAAGTGAACACAAACCGATGACAGAAGAAATCCTCGTATCGAAGATAGGGTTTATTTAGGGTTGAAGCTTAGAGTGGGCTACCCGGCCCATAATCCACCAACAAGTCGGACCGGGCGGGTGGGCTTCTTGACAATATTGAAATTACGGGTGTTTATTTGAAAATTTTAAAAAGTAAAATTTTAATTTTAAATAATTATTTGATACAATATAAAATACTCCCTCTGTCCTTAACTACAGTTTTAATTGAATTAGGCACAAGATTTAACTAATAATATTATATTGGTAATTGGTAAAAAATAGAGATAAAATACTTTTTTGCCCTTGTGAATGTATTAGTGTAAAAAGTAGTGGCAATTGTGTAATAAAAATGAAAAAGTATAAGTAGTTTTACGGTGATATGGTTATTTACTTATTTATGAAAATAAGATTATTGTTTTGAGACGGACAAAAATGGTAAATAAGTCTATTGTATTGGGACGGAGTGAGTATATATTATCTTCGTCCCAAAATAATATGAACATTTGGGATTTGCACCGAATTAAGAAATAATAGTACTCCCTCCGCCCTAATACAATAGTTTTGTTTATCATTTTTGTCTGTCCAAAAACAATAATTTTATTTCTATAAATAACCATATCACCGTAAAAATACCACTACTTTTTTATTTTTATTACACAATTGCTATTACTTTTTACACTAATACAATTACAATGACACAAAAGTCTTTTATCTATACTTTTGACCAACTATCAATATAATATCAATATTTTTTAAATCTGGTGATCAATCCAATTAAGACTATAATTTTGAGACGGGACGAATATTATATTGATAGTGAATGTAAAAATATTTTTAAAAAACTAAAATGCTGCTTTATATAATTATGATAAAAAGTAAAAAGTAAATTACAAAAGTAAAAATAAGGCTAACGTTTTAATTAAAACTGAGGAAATATTAAATTAAATAATTATCATTTCATCCAACAGTAGCAAAGTGCTGAAAATGGATCCGTCCAGTTTATGTTATTAATACTTCCATTGTTGAATTTAAAAATGTGAGAACTTTTTTGTCATGATCTAGTGATCACTCCACTTATTACCAGATTAAAAGTTAGAATTCGTTCGTAAAAATTGATTTGGTGGTGTAGAAATTAGATTTATAACTGTGAGATAATGGGTTTAAACTCTGTGCACACCTAGACATACATTGTAATACTATATTGTCTCTTTCTTTAAAAAAAAAAAAAAAAAAGCTAGATGATTACATGCCAAAATTTTTTATTTAGGGTGTGTTTGTTTGGACATTGGATTAGATTTTCATTATTCATTCTATTTTTTCTCCCAAAAACATCAAATTAAATACATATTTTTTATTTTTTATATTATATTAAAAATCAATTTTACATTCAAAACATCACATCAATACCTATTTATATCACATTATACAACTATTCAAATTTAAAATTTTTACTATTCAAATCCCAACTCAAAATCTAAACTTCCAGACAAACACACCCTTAATTTTTTTTGGTGAACTCTAAAATCAAATCCAAACACCATTCAAATTTGAAATTACGGGCATTGGTTACATTGGAGTGAAGGGCATAATCGACATTTCACACCTTTGGAAACTCAGGCACTCCTTCCCGATAGAATATGCAGAGCTCTGATTGGTCGAATTAAAGATTTAGCAAAAAACACACAATTCTCTCACAGCAAACCTCCGCCGCAGAAACCCTTCCCAAATTCAGTCACACCTCCCAATTCCACTCCCATGGCGGTGCCGACGACTGCCGCCCATTACCTCCAAACCCCGCCGGAAACGCCGCCGCGGCTCTCCCGCCGCCGCCCGTGTCCTCCCCGATCCCTCGCCATGGCAGCGTTGCCCAAGAAGAAGGTACTCAATCAAAATCCCTCCTTCAATTTCCCCCATTAACTCCCCAGCCCGGCCCGGCCGGACCTGACCCAAAACCGGCGGCGGTTTTTTTTCTGTAGGTGAACCGGTACGACTCGAACTGGAAGAAGCAGTGGTTCGGGCCCGGAATATTCTACGAGGGGGCGGAGGATCAGGAAGTCGACGTTTTCAAGACTCTGGAGAAGCGGAAGGTTCTGAGCACCGTCGAGAAGGCGGGGCTGCTGACGAAGGCGGAGGAGCTCGGCGTGACGCTGTCGGCGATCGAGAAGCTCGGCCTGCTGTCCAAGGCGGAGGATCTCGGCCTGCTCAGCCTCCTAGAATCGGCGGCGGGGTCGTCGCCGTCGCTGCTGGCGTCGGCGGCGCTGCCGGTTCTGGTGGCGGCTATTGTCACGGTGGTGGTGATTCCGGATGACTCGGTGGCGCTGGTGGCGGCGCAGGCTCTGATCGCCGGGGTTCTGGCGGCCGGCGCCGCCGGGCTGTTTGTGGGGTCGATTGTTCTGGGAGGATTGCAGGAGGCAGATTAGAGATGTAATTAGTTGTTAATGGTGTAATTAATTATGTTTTGTGGTTTGATGAAGCTAATTGTTTATACTAAGATGGTTTCGATTTTTTATTACCTTCGTCCTACATAATTTTGATTTATTCCTTATATTTTCTTCATCTTATCTTTTGAAAAATAATTATATATATTTTAAATTTTATAATTTACAATTTTTTAGATTTTAATTAAATTAGTTTTTTTAATATATATTTTAAATTATATACTCCTTCAGTCCCTGATAAATTGTTTATATTACCGTAAATATAATATAAGAATTTAGGTAAAGTATAATTACTAAATAATTAAAAAGTGTATTAATAAAAATAATTATATATTACAATTAAAATAACTAAGTAATACAATTAAAATAAAAATATTACTCCCACAGTCCCGTTAAAAGATTACCATTTTTCATTTTCGTCCGTCTCAAAACAAGGTTACTATTTCCTAATTTAGTAATTGTACTACCTACTTAACATAATAAATACCTTTTCAACTTACAATATATTACACAAATGTCATTACTTTTATATTACACCATACTAATAGGGGTATTTTTGTCTTTTTTTACTACAATATAATATAATATTAATATTCAAAAATCTATGTACAAAAAACAAACGCCACTCTTCTACCAGGACCGAGGAAGTATAAATTATAAAATTTAAAATATGATTAAAATATATAATTAATTTTTAAAAAAAACAAAAAAAAATCAATACGAAAAATAATAATAATAATAATAATAAACAATTTATGTCGAACAAATGAATATTACTAATTATACTCTCTAGATTTTGATATAATATAAAAATATACACTTTTTGCACCAATCCTCATTTAGCTTATGCATGTAAATTTAGATATATTGGATTTTATAGGTATACAGTGTAGGAAATAGCGTAAAATCTATTTTATTTTTAGCATTGACGAGATTAAAATAATAAAGATAATAAAATAAGTGATATTTTAGTATTTAATTGAGAGATATTATTACTAAAAATAAAACGTATATTTTTTATTTGAACATACAAAAATAAAAAAATAAATATTTTTTACTCATACAAAAATAATACTTGATATGATATTTTGAAATTTAAATTAATTTTTAATATAATATAAATATATATATAATGCTCCCTTCGTCGGCTTACAAAGTTTACATGTTTCTATTTTGGGACGTTCAATTACAAAGTTTATATTTCATTAAATACCCTACTTTTTTTCACAAATACCCTTACTTTACATCACATCATTACTTTTACACAAAAAAGTAAGGGCAAAAATGTCATTATACTACTTTTAACTACTCAATATAATTAAAATACTAGTATTTCTTTAACACCGCGCCAAAAGTAAATGTAACACTTGTAAATGGACTGAGGGAGTATAAGTTTGACAAGGGTGTGTTTGTTTGGGAACTAGATTTCAAATTCACTGTTTATCCCATTTTTTTCTCTCCAAAAACATCAAATCAAACACTTATTTTTTTTTATATACTATACTAAAAATCAATTTTACATTTAAAAGATCACATTAACACCTATTTATATCACATCATACAATTATTCAAATTCAATTTTTTTACTGTTTAAATCCCAATTCAAAATCCAAACCCCCAAACAAACATATTTTTGAAACATATATAATAATGAATAGTAAAATTCTTTTAGAAAAATATCCAACAAAACACAACCTATATTTATGGCAATGGTTAAATGTTGATTAGAGCTACTTAGTATATAAATAATTACAATTGGAAATATAATTGGAGTTAAATTGAATATAAGGATCAATAGTATAAGGTAATAGTTATATAGGATAGTGATTTCAATAATTAATATTAATATAGTATAAATAGTATGAACTATGAACCCATAATATAGGATGAGATTAGATCATATGTATATTGATTCAGCATATACTGAATCCAATCCCAACCTTAAACTTAATTATTTTATTAAATAAATAATTTTATAATCAAGGGTTCATATTAACTTCATCTATGCCGAACTAAAAAATTTAGCATAGCATCCGCCCCAATATATGATAATAATTCATATAATATACGATAATTTAACTACAATCATGTTTTAAAAAGTAATAGTTGTCAATATAATAATTAATCTTAATAATTCCTCGTTATATTTATAACATGTTTGGTACATTATTAGCTATATTTTAGGCCTTTATCCTCCAAAATTGGATGTTGGATTCTCTTATGGGTCTCAAATTTGTGAATATATCGAAGGAATAATTTAGCAAAAACCCCAATTTAAATTATAATCAATATGAAAGCAAAATATAAACAAACAATAGAGGTTTGTTTGTGTTCACATAGGTTGTTCGTGAATTATTTTAATATCGATCGAGAATTAATAAAACTCCGCAGAAACAATAAATCAAATCAAACATCAAGTTTGTTTACTCGGTTCGGCCTCCAACTTAGCCTATATTTAGAGGGTTCTAATTCAGATTTATTCACTATGATATGAGCACAGTAGAAGCAAGTTACAACCTCATAACTATCACTCGAGACAACAAGGAAACCACAAACAACTCATTAGTACAACGATTATCAAAAGTTGTAGTAAACTACCTCGCAATGATAGTTTCACAAGGCTTCAACCTCTAATTCTTGAGTCTCTTATTCAGAGTGGTAAAATGACAGCAATTTATCCTCACTATTAATTACAAGTTTTCTCTCTCATAATATGTCTGAAATCTGACAGTTTTGTGGCTATTTCAATTTAAACGAAAAATTACAAAAAACGAATACAAATCACTTTATGATTTTTCAATCATTACAAGATTTTTTTTCCCATAAATTTTATATGAAAATATAAAATAAATCACCTATCATATGAATGGACAACTTAGACTATCAAATTATAGGGATGGAGCTTTCTCTAGAATGAAGATGAGAAAATGAACTTTTCCCCTCATTCTTTCTTTCTAAAATCACGAAAATGAAAACTCAATCTTTCAAAATAAAGGTGTGTATGTATATAACGGTATACCAATATTTTTCCAACAATCAAAGCCAGCAACACATAAGTAATGCCAAGGCTGTCTCAGATTTTTTAAGATCCCGAGCAAAAATTAAATAGTAGGCCTCATAAACATTCTACAACATTTTCAAAATAGGAAATAGTTAATTATACTTAATCTATATCCCACACTTTATCTCCTCACATCATTCAAATAAAAAATAAATAAAATGTACACTTCTTTTTCTGTCATATCACCTAATTTGTAAATTATCATACTTAATACTACTCACTTAAAAACCCGTATCAAAAATAAATGTTGCACCTTATTTAGGACAGATGAAGTAATAAACTACACAAAAGTAAAAATTATATTAATAGTATATCCAATAATAACATCACCACCACCCATAATAATAACTACAAATTCTAAAAGCAAAGGAAAATGAAATCAATTTTAGAAAAGATATTACTAGAGTTTAATTCTAGAATTAGAATTGGATTTGATAATTATTAAAAAAAAAAAAAAACATGGTATAAAATTTAATTAAATTTTAATATGCCCAATAATAATAGGATAAAATTTAAAAGTACGAGTTCTTTTAAATTGCTCATTTGCTTCTGCTATTAGCCGACTATGGTATTAACTAACAAAACATGTAGACATGAGTAGTAGTACCTTTGTAAAATGTTTACGGGACAAAAAAATACTCACCCTTTAACGGTTGTTTCATTGGCCGTTTTTTACACTATCGCACCTTTTAGCATCTTGTGTCGACTTATATAAACTCTAAGTTGATTTGTCGAACTCCCACGTGCACCTAGATATCTAAACTTCAATACAAAGGAACTCCTTTTGTACGATGGATTTGTGAACAATATATGGTAGCCAAAATTCTTATCTTTTATGGATTTTGGTTGCAAGATTAGACCATAAATTGAACATCAACTTTCTTGGACAACAATTCAATAATGCTAGCGGAAAAGATGGAAATAGAGAGGATATTTGATGCATATTTTATTTACATATATTGTTTCGAAATATTAAAACATAGTTAATTAAATTTCAATTTATATTGATTTTGTGGAAAATTTTGGATGAAATAACTAAATGTCTTGGCTAATAATGCAAGCCCAAAAATAATGTACAACCCAATCGATGATCCACGGGAGCTCAACGATGGGTAGAAGTGGAGATAAATTAGTATTACTAGCTACGGTGTCTCTTTTAATATAGATACGAGTATTTAGAAGGAATATAATTAGTAAATAATTAATAATGTATTAGTGATAATAATTGTTGTATAATAAAAATAATTTTAGATTAAAATTAAGAAACTAATTAGTCTAATTAAAATTAAACAATATTATAAATTAAAAAAATTAAAATAAAATTAAAGTGTATAATTTTGTTTTTCAAAAAGAAAAATGACAGTGTCGAGAGAATCTCAATATTTAGTTTTAGATTTAGATTTGGTCATATCCACTATATTACGTTATTTAGATTTGAGTCTATCGAGTTTGTTTTGTATTATCTATATATAAACTCTTTATTTTTATAATAATAAAAAAAGAAAACAATCTCATTATTTTTTTCCAAAATTTTAACATGGTATCAGAGCATATTTTTTTTTTGGGATAGACATAGTCTACTAACCCTCGTTGCTCCGGGTACATTTAACCTGGAATGTACCCGGAGGTCTTTAATTTTGAGATATGTCTACAATTTTGTCCGAGTTTGCGTCTACATTAGAATTTGTGTCTGCGTTCTAGAATAGAAGTTTTGTTGATAGCGGCGGAGGTGACGTCGGATGAGCAACTGTTATGTGCGAGAACAGAAGCTCAGTTGGGAGCGGTGGCGGTAACGACGGACAAAGCAATTTTTATTTGCGTTTGCATTAGAGTTCATATTTGCGTTCGAGAACAGGAGCTTAGTTGAGAGTGGAAAAGGCGACGTCGGACGAGCAACTATTATGTGCGAGAACAGGAGCTCAGTCAGGAGCGGCGGCGGCAACGACGGACAAAACAACTGTTATTTGCATTTGCGTTAGAGTTCATGTTTGCGTTCGAGAACAGGAGCTTAGT